AGTACTGACGGTTTCGGTGAGATGATCTAGATTGACAGGCGTGAATCGGAGAAGATCGTTGCAGCAAAATCTTTGAATCGTCGTCATCCTTCTCTCAGGAACTTCAAGATTCGCCCAAACCCTAGCTGCGAAAATGACCAGTAAATTGCGCAAACACTACTCTATAATTTTTTGATTTTTTAATGGGTGGCTTTCTGTTCCATGTTCGAGCTTCCATTGAATTAAAATGGGATATCTTTTTAACCGATGAGGTGAAATTGAGAGGGGTAGGGAATGTATGAACCTAATAGTTTAGGGGTAGGAATGATTTTTGAATGATTTTTCTTTGTTCTCAAAAGAAAATTCAATTTGTACTTCGTATATACTCTATGTTTTGTCTTTCACTTAAGAAGTATCCATTTTTGATTTTTTCAATCAAAATTAATAAATTATGATCACAAATTATATAAAACTAGTGTTATACTCAGTATATTGTTATAAAATTTATTTATTTGATTCATTTTATAAAATATTCTTGAAATATTATTTTATCTAATTAAATAACAATATATATTTTATTTAATTATATATCATTCGATAAAATGATTGACAGCAAAAAGTCAGAAATGGACAAAAACTCAGGTACGAAAGTAGTACTTTGTGCATTTTTCTTGTTTACAATGCTTAAAAACTATGGAGTAATTTTTTTCTTTTTTTTCGCTAACGGAGTACTATTTTAATGAATAAACATGATGTAAAAATCTTTTTTTGAAGGGATATGTAAAATTCATAAATTAATTCAGTTTGTTACAAAAAATTATACTCCAAATTTAAGTTGCATGTTTACTATTAATAAAGCCAAATTGTGACTCTATTTTAAACTAATGTTCAAATATATAGATCTTATTTTAGGATGGAGTTTTACATGTAAAAGATGAGATTTCGAAGAGAGAAGTAGTAACAGTCTTCCATCTTGTTCTCCACCGAACACGGATGCCCTTAGCCATGCGGTGTGGAGTGCATGATCGCTTCTGGGATGGCCACCTCAACTCTGATATGGTGGGAACATTGCTCCCACCCCCGATGGACGCGATGGGGTAGGCGAGTTTCCAGTTTGGTGATCCCGTATAATTTTGGCTTTTTTTCTTGTCTTCTCCATCATCTTCCCTTTTTTTCATTTCTTCCTTCCTTGAATTTTTTTTTTCAATTTCGTCTGTTTTTTTACTTTTAGGTTTTTAGTTTTTACTTTTTTTTTACTGTTTTTTGTTTTATTTTTTAGGTTTTTTTTTGTAAATTGATTGATTAAAAAATTGGGAAAAAATCAATGAGTTATTAGGAAAGGCTATATTAAGCGCATTCCGGCAGCTAATTGTTCTTTGCTTTCATTTCCAAGTCACAAATAACACCAAATTCATGGGCTTGCTTAAACCGATTTAAGGATAGTTCAAGTCAAGAAACTCATCAATCCATCAACACTAACAATACCCAAGTATTAAGCAACTTCATTAATCAATTCCACTTATTTAGCCTAAGTAAGTGCATCTAGAGGTAGATATTCATTTGAAAACATCAAAATAACTTCATTCTCTAACATAATAAAATAAAAAGATCTCTGAATCATCATATGTTTTTTGTTACTCCGTATTAAAAAACTTGAATCACACAAACCATCCCTTTGTTTGTGTTATATCGCCATTATTATACACGAAGCGTGAAATAATTTACGCTATATTCATATATGTTCCAACAAAGAACAAGATAACTTGTCCGCAGTCATATACTGTATGTTCCAATTCCTCTGGTGTGATTGGTTGCTTAAAGGGAATGATCGACTGCTTCTCCACATCTCGTGATAAAGCTTTCCTCATATCTATTGTGTCGGAAAACAAAGACAAAAAACCCATCTTTAATTAAGATAGGACCATTTAAGGGACTCCGAACCTTCTCATACACATCCACAAACACTCGTTAGTATTCAATATTTGTGAGAAAGTGAGTGTATTTGTCCACTTTTCCGGTCTCATTCTAGTTGTACACGTTCTATATATTAATGAAAAATCTTTTGGGCTAACTTTGATCAGCTAGTTTTCCCTCACATTATTCACTTCCACAAAAAGGTATGGGTAAATTTTTGTAAGATCTCTTTCCTCATTGGTACATGCTAAGTATCAACCACAACAAAAATTGGACAAACACATTAGGTTGCAGGGATTAAAGAAAAACATTACACCAACAGTGGGATTTATTCAACTCGCCAAACGCATCTTCTTTTCCAGAATAATATCGTGCGACTCGCCTGTATATTATGTAGCCGAGCTGGAAAGGAGAAAATTATATTTTATAATGAATAAACATGCACAAATGTTTTTGAAATTTTTAATTGAGTTTATCATTATAAAACTTGTTTGCTACTATGTTTTGGCAAATTGCTTGAATGATGTTAGAACAAACCATACCTTCTCATACAATTTTATGGCTGGTACATTGGATGATCTCACAAAGAGGTCAACAAAGTAAGCTTCGTAACTATAATATGAAAGAGTTTCCATTAGTGCCAACAGGGGTAATAACTTATCAATGAAATGACATTATAAATCCACCCCTAAGATGCAGACAACTTGATATAATGGATGGCTAGAGATGTGAAAATAAAAATGCACAACACTTTCTGCAAAAATGAGAGCTCGAGTAAATTTATCGAGCACAAAAGGATTCGATTCCCTTATCAATGTGTATCTCGTCACAGAAAGTATATTGCATGTGAAAATGGCACATGTTATTAGAGTAAGAGCATGTTTTTTTCAACTTATTTTTATTACTTATTACTTATTATTATTGAAATCAGATCATACCAGATCAAAAACAGTTTTAATTATAACTACAATCAGATGGATTAGACCACACATTAATACTCCGTATGTCGGTTAGAACCAAAAAATGAGTTTGGGATGGAGAGTGGGAGGGAGTACTTGACTTTAAACTTTTAAAGCAATGAACATGGACAGGAGTGAGGATAAGAATTGCATACATTTTATCACTGACATCTTCAAGTAAATTTCATTAGTTTCTTGGCCAATTGTTGTCTTCTATACTCAGGTGATACAGTAAGAGTGGTAACATATGGCCATGCCAAGATTCACCTTCCCCTTCAACTTTTCCAATGACTACAAACATAAACATAAAACACACTCATGTTTTTGTCAAATTTTTGCCCCACCACACCCAATGTTTGAGCGCAACTAACCAGGAATCATCCCGAATTCCCATTTGAGTTTCTTGCTACATTTACCTTTCAACTCTCAAAAAATTGCGCAAACTCCTCCCTCCTGAACGTTAAAAATTGCACCAATAGCCCATTAACATTTAAAAATGTCACATCAATAGTCCTTCCGTGTCAGATTTGGAAGTGTGTCAATCACATATGTTCATTAATATACCTGTTAGAGCTTAATGAAAATGTCGTGAATTGACGAAATGGTTGATCGTGTGACTAACGCACTCTCAAATCTGGCGTAAAAGGACCATTGGTTCAACGTCTTAAAATGTTCTGGGAACATTGATGTAATTTTTAAAGTTCAGATGAAACACAAGTTATTTTTCGAAAGTTCATGAGTAATTGATGCAAAAAAAAATAAACTTTGTCCCAATTTCTAAACTTTAGTTTGACTTACATAGAGATAATAAAAAACTTGAAAATTTACTTAAATACTACTCCTTCCGTTCCTTGAAAACAATTACCATTTTGACCAAGTGCTAAAATAGGGAAGTGTTAAATTGTAAATGACTTTCAATGGTAAAAATATGATGTGATGGATAGATTATTAGAGAAAAAGTATGATGTGATATGTAGGGTTAGAAAAAGTAAGAATAAAAGTGATTTTTTAATAGAAAATGGAAATGTTTTGGTGAAAGAGAATGTGTTTTAGAGAACAAGAGAGCACTAAAACATAGTGACATTGCTCAAACTAAATGTCCACCATTACTCGTCCTCGACATTGTTCTCGCGACTAGACATTATTCAAATACTATTTAGGGAATAAAAAAGGGTAAGTACTTCTAAACAAATATTTTAGTACTATTTAGTGCAAATTTCACCAAAAAAAACTTAACATATATCTTCTTCAACATGAAGATATAGGAGTGAAAACACAAATGGGCATGTCGTTCGTTTTTCCCGAAATTCTTCCTAAGAATAGGCGTATGAATAGGGTGGTTTAGAGACTCACTAATCTATAGTTTTAGCACCTCATCGAGACATGCCGAGGCAACACTAAATGTGTAGGTTTACAACTTGCACGTTGTCCAAACTCACACGAATCTCTTGATTTCAAGTAACTGAATGTGTTTGGAGTACAAAATGCTTCAAATTCATTTAAAGGGAAGCCTTGTCTCTTTATTTTTCCGCAATAACTTCTTCTAATCTTTAGATTTCATATAGATTCCCAAAGAAATTCTTCTATTCACTCTAGAATGAGTTCTATCGAAAATGTGGCAACTCCTCCTCAAAGAAAGATTTTTAAAATTGTAGTACAATGGTATTAAAGTTGAGAAATAAATTGTGGAGTAGTTTAATAGCCTTTCAATTTTGATTTTATTTTCAATTGCTCAATTTTTTATAATTGTAAGAAAAAAGTCCAAAGAGGCACAATTGTCAAATTTTTTAAAATTATAAAATCTGTATGTGTCATAATTTTGATTTATGTGCCTCCTTTCTTAATTTAATGACGTTATGAATAGAACTGTGTGAATATTATTATAAATTTTATGAAGTGATCTTCTTACCAATCAAGTAAATTAAAAAACTTTATATTGTTCTATTTTTTTCAAAAAATGTTTATTTAAAATATAAAAAAAAATTATTTGAAATAATATCACTATTTCATTTAGTTACACAAAAAAAACATTTACTCCCTCATCTTTAAATGATATATGCACTTCATTATTTAAAAAATAACGTAAATTTTTATTTATTTATTTAATTTCATTGACTATTTAATGAGATACAATATTCTTATCATATACTACATATTACTTTGAAATTTTTTTAATCTATTTTTTATTTAAGTAAATTTATTTTTTATTTATATACCAAAACACTTTTGTATTATTTGAATGGAGAGAGTTTGAGGGAATGACTACCATCTCATATCTCGCCTGAGCTCCTATCGAGTTTTATAGCGGCGCCGGAGAGGCGTCGGAGGGAGAAACAGCTATGGATATTCTCAAACAAGAGCTGGAGAAGAGGCGGAACAGCCTGCGGGAAGACGTCGGAGGCAAAAAGTTCTTCAAACGCTCCGAGATCGAGCAGAAACGCCTCCAGCGGCTACACGAGGAAGAGAAACGCGAAGCCGAATCCAAAGCTCTCCGGAAAAAGCAATCGGAGCAAGCAAACAGATCCGGCGCCGACGCTTCTTCCGATCCCAACTCCAATTCTAATCACCTCGGTAAATCCAACGCCGAATCCAATGCATCTTCTTCCAAACCCCAAACCCTAACCGACGAACAAAAGATCGATTCGCTCCATCTTCCGAGGCAAGAAGTTATTCGCAGACTCCGCTTCCTGAAACAGCCCGTCACACTGTTCGGCGAGGATGATGAGGCCAGGCTGGATAGGTTGAAATATGTGCTGAAAGCAGGGCTTTTTGAAGTCGACGACAGCGATATGACGGAGGGGCAGACTAATGATTTCCTGCGTGATATTGTGGAGTTGAAGAAACGGCAGAAGTCTGGGATTTTGAGCGAAAGGAAACGGAAGGCTACAGAGGATGGAGAGGATAGAGATGGGGGAGGCGGCGAAGATGATTTGAGCGGGGACGGAGGCTCGTCGGGAGTGGATTACGACAAGGATTTGAAGAGGCTGAAGACCAAATTTGGGGACTTGTGTGATGAGGACAAGATTTTGGTGTTCTTTAAGAAGCTGTTGAACGAGTGGAATCAGGAGCTTGATGAGATGACTGAGGCTGAGAAGAGAACTGCCAAAGGGAAATCCATGGTTGCCACATTCAAGCAGTGTGCTAGGTACTTGAATCCTCTGTTCAAGTTCTGCAGGAAGAAGGTTAGCATACACTATTCTCTTGAGGTTTATAATTATTCATGTCTAGCTTAAGTGGAGTTGCATGAAATTTCAAAATTTTGAGCAAACATCATCAAGACTAGACATTTGAACATTCCATTAGTGTTGTCAAAGAATCCAAGCTTTTTGGTTTTGTTTTTAGAGACGTGGTTTTTAAAAATAGTACTCCCTCCATCCCATGATAATCTTCACTTTACGCAAAATGAAGTAAAATTGTAAGTTTTTTCAATTCTTTTTATTTAAAGATTGGTATATAAATACAAAAAATAAAACTTACGTATTTGAAAACTCAGTCAAAAGTTCTACAAAACAAATGGTGACAAGAGCATTTTATTTTATCAAATAATCAATAAAAACGAACAAATAAATAAAAGTTCACGTGGTTCTGGAATAGTGAAGGAAGATGATTCTAGGATGGAGGGAGTATGAGATTATCAAGTATGGAGTATTTTTTAAGAAAGTAGTGGGATTCATCATAGAATGATGCTCTTCAAGGCTATTTATTCCTACAAGTGTGTGCGCGTGCTACATCATTTAGATTTGTTTCATGTATCATGTGGGACGGTTGAAGCTCAATCCAACAGTCCCAATGATCAATCTCTTAATTGTGTGCTGTTAGATCTTCATCGCAATATCAGATGGATCAAGCTGCGATAACTAACAACCAGTTGTCTTTGATAATAAACAGATCCTGATCTAGACCCCTAATGGAATGAGCAGTGAACCATATCAGATTTCATTCAAGTATTCTCAACAAGATTATATGACCATAGTGTCTATTTATATTTCTGAGCATCTAACTCTATAGTCAGACTGGTTGGACTTGGACATACATAGATTAGGAAATCTGATATAGTGAGTGAGATCAGTGGATACTTCTTAGTTGTGATAACTCTGTAGTATTATTACTCTATTGAAAATGGAATTTAGTGATGCATGTTATTTTTTATTGAATGAACATGGAGTATTGGAGGAAGTAAAGGAATCAATAGTTTCACTTTCAAGTGAAATGACCCATGTGGGTACAAGCAGTTTGGAATTGATTAGGACTTAGGAGTCGTTAAGAGCTTGAAATCATTGACCTTACAATACAAACCACAATTTTTCCCCGACGGACAGCTTCCCAAAAAAGAAATCATATACTTATACTTTTTTTTCTTTTGTGTATGTGTGTGTGTGTCTTTTCCTTGTGGGGAAAGAAGAGAGCATAGATGCCTAGATGGTATGCCTAGAATCATATTCTGAATTGCCAGGCCACAAGATTTTCAGTCAAGTTTTTTTGGGGGGGTATTATTACTATTAATGGTGATGCATTGTTGCTTATACTGGTCCAACTACCTTCACAAATCACAATGTAGGTACTTCCCGATGATATTCGGCAAGCATTACTTTTGATGGTCAAGTGCTGCATGGAGAGAGATTATCTAGCCGCCATGGATCATTACATCAGAATGGCCATTGGCAATGCTCCTTGGCCCATTGGTGTTACTATGGTTGGTATCCATGAACGTTCGGCCCGCGAGAAAATTTACACCAACAGTGTTGCACACATCATGAACGACGAGACCACCCGAAAGTATCTGCAGTCGGTCAAGAGATTGATGACATTCTGCCAGCGCCGCTACCCCACCGCCCCATCAAAGGCCGTGGAGTTCAACAGCTTGGCCAATGGCAGTGATTTGCAGTCATTACTCGCAGAAGAAAAGTCTTCATCCTCAGATGAAAAGCAGCTTCGCCTATTGCCTGCCTGATGAATTGTATGTATCATTTTCGTTACGTTGTAGAAACACTACACGAACAAAAACGGTTCCTTTGGAATATTTTTGAATTTGAAGGATATGGTGGCCTGTTTGGTGCCCATAACCAGTGTATAAGTATCTTTTACTGATTTTGTTTGGGTTGCCCAATGTGAAACTCAATGCTGGTTTTGATTTTTGATTTTTTGGCTTCTTTAGGATTTTTCTTCCTTGCTAACCATAACCCTAGTTTTGTGTTTCCTTTTTTGTCTCTGTTTTTAACTTTTGGCTATGCAGCTCAAATGCTCTAATTCTATAAGCTCTTTAGAGAATTGTTTCACTGCCACTTCTAGTACACTTCATTTGTCCCTAGTAGCTTTCTGTCTTAGCTTATACTTCATTTGTGAATTTAATTGTCAACACCCCCCCCCCCCTTTTGTACATCTATAATTAGTTGCCCGCCGTTCATGTGAGTTTGGAAACAATGATTTTGGTTGTTTTGTTTTGGCTGATCCGCCGGGAACCTTGGGTCTAATTTGGGAACAACATTTCCAATCAGCGATAACATTTTTAATAATCTTTCAGTGGTGCAGTTTAAAAAGGTTAAAAATAAACATTGTCATTAGTTATCTTTTCAAAATGTTAAAGTTGAACAACGAATTTCTCGCCAAACATGCACTTTATTTGTTTGTTATTTTGCTCTATTTCAAATTCTTGTGCATATCGATTGTCTTTGCATTCTTGTGTGCCTCTTGCATACTTGGTGCACTTCAGAAAAAAAAAAAATTGTAATTTCTCTTTACATGATGTAAAATGGAATTGATGCATTGCTTCAGAATGGAATAATTAAAATTGAGCATTTGAACACTATAGTGAGAACTTTGGACGGGTTCAAATTGCAAAATGAATACATACGTTCGTGCATGTTTCATATATATAGAGAAGTTGAGGTGGTCCATTGGCAAAAATCACTTCGCTTAAATTTTATCTCATGAGAGGTCTTTGAGGTTGGCAAAATCGGGGATTTCAATGAATGAACCTCTAGCCTTTTGGCACGAGTTTTTTGGTTAGATCAGTTGTGAATGTAGAGACTTTGTGGGAGCTGAAAGACGAAAAAGTTTCAGGCTTGTATCTTTCGAAATTCTTGAGTGGGATTGTAGAGATTTAAAATCGAAAAGAATTTTAATGGATTAAAAACTGGATGGAGGAGGGATAATTACATGATAGATCTTTTGAAGATTGTGTAGAATGGGGAAAAACATGTCATCTTTCACCCTTTCCATTATCATCACGTGTTTAATTCTTGTCTTAGCCACAAAATTGAGTAGAGTTAAAAAATATTCTGAAAATGAGTGTGTAACAATTGGTTCCCACTTTGAAAAAATCAAACTTTTCAAGTTTCGTCTAACTGCTTAGTTAGTCAATGCCGAAATCAAAAAGACGTAATACTCCGTAGTTGAGTTTGATTTTTAACAGTGGTCATGGTTGATGAAAGACAACCATGCTTAAAATTATATTCTTATATAAATCAAATATACAACAGATCTCATTTCATATTGATTAGTTTAAGATTAATTTTTTTTTTTTTGTATCTGATTTGAACTACTTTCTGGGCGGATTCTAGAAAAACCCTAAAATGGGACTCACCCTTTTTTTTGCAAATTCATCTAGCTTCTAATCTAGTATCCAAGTGTTATTTTTCTCGGGGGAATATTTGACAATTTAGCAACTTTGATAGTTCATATATTCGATTAAATACTTGTGAATACAAGTATTTCACGATGGTAAAGCAACATCATAATTAAAGGTGCAGTGTAATATCATGTCAAATTTAAGATTTTACAAAATTTGGCCCCAAAAATCGTCACACAAGCAAAGTAAATTAGGACAGAGAGAGTAAATATAGAATCAATATTGAAATTTTGAAATGGGGTTCGAACTTTTAAGTACTACACCTTAATGGCATGTTTGGGAGAATGAGGACCTTTTCCCTTTGCCTGCTTATTCATAAGCACTTCTACAAGTTCTTATGGTATTTTTATGATCCACTCCAAGTTTATGTAATCCAACAGATCGCAAACATATAGTTTTTTATTGAAAAAATGAGAGCTCGTCGTCTAAGAACAGGAGGCGAGGGTAGACAAGCACAAGTAAATCCAAAGTTTCCAAATTGGCAATAATAACCCAAGTGCAGTTATGTTTCCACCCAAAAACTATGGGGATGCTTTATGGCATTGTCTGATACTTCTAGAAACAAATGAAAACACATAACATGCAAAAGAAAAGTGCAGCTGTTACTTGACCAAATGCCTTGTCCATCATCAGCTTTCGGCATTAAATCACCTGCAAAATGTAAAGATGAATAAGCAAAATTTTAATTAATCTACCAAAATATATTTTGAATTATAAATGACACACAACCCTCTATCCTGCAACTGAAAACTTATTCCGTACCAGGATGAAGACTCCTTTTTCAAGGAAAGATGCTATTTCTCATCATGTTTAATGTTTTTCATAAACGTTGTGTCCCGAACAAGTTGAGTGTGTTACTTTTACTTAAGCCAACAAATAAACTTAAAAATGGAACTATATTTGATTATTTCAAATAGTTGCGCTTTACTTATACTCAAACAGTTTACCTTTGTGAAACATGGCTCTTCTTAATGACATCTCGGGATAAGATCACTATTTGACCTTTATAGTAGTGGTACCAATCACATATAGTAAGAGTATAATAGTAATTTAAGCATCCAAAATGAATTCCAGATCGTAAACATGGACGGGAACTTTGCATTTTAAATTATTCATTTGATGTGTCTAAGAACACCTACACACATAGGAAACAATGAAGAGAGGAATTTGCACTCTTTACTAATTCTAATGTGAATGTTGCTTCTACAATCGGTACAAGGTCCAAGAGATAGTGCAAGTTTACAAAACCCTATATAGCTGATTTTTACCCATTGTATGATTCAATAAAGCGGAATGAAATCGGGGAGGGGGTGGACGGGTTCTGAAAAGTTGTTATCTTTGGTTCAGTTGAGGAGTGGAAGGAATTTATCTTGAAAGATACCAAAAAAAATTATTTTAGTATAATTTTATATTGTAATTAATACTCCGTAGTAGTAATCTATATGTATAGAGATGATAATGTGACATGATTTGAAATAGAAAGTGAAAACGCCTACTGCNCCTTAACTAAACACACAGCCCTTAGCCTTCCTTTCCTCCCTCCAAGCACACAACTTGTTTTGATGGTGCTTAAGCAACATCAGAATGATATCAACAAGCAATAAATTTCAATCAGACTAATTCAATTAACATGCTTCATTTATCATCTGGAAATCAATCATGTTAACAAAACTTTCTACCTGTAAACATGCTACATAGAAGCTTGTTAAAATGTAAAAGAGATGCAATCACTCACAATAATAGCAGTTCGTAATGTTTCTACTTTAGCTTTCTTTATTTATATTTCTCTATGTAGCATGCTCTATGAAGGACACTGATAGAGTTCAAGAAAAATAGTAATCTATTTTTCAAGATGTGATACGCTATCAATACGTTGAATTACAATTGTATATACAAAAACAAGTTGTCTTGAGTGCAAAACTTCAGCAACTCTAACTTTCAAGTTTCAACATTCTGTGGCTAATTTACATTTACCCATTACCACTGTATCGCATCATTCTCTATGGATTTAAGAGCGTGACGCTTTACACGATTGGGAGATCATGAATGCCCATACATCGAGATTCATTTCAATGTATTATTAAGATTTTTGATTAGTTAAAGGCTAAGCAATGAAAACCACGGGACATTTTATAGACTCATAGTGGTCTAACACACACAAATAAAATCAAATGAAGCCACACAAAAATTGCAGTCGATCCAATTAGATGTCAATGCATTGTTTCTAGACTTGATTTTGTTTCATCATTAATAACACTGGATAATATAGACATCCAGATCTTAAATCATGCCTTCGATTTCATCCTAGGGTTTCAAATTACCAGACAATAAAGGTGTATGAACGTTCGTAAACGATACTCACTTTTTATGCCTCTGGACGAATTTCGATTTCTTGGCGTCCTCTTCTGCAGATCAACAATCAGAAGCGAAGATCAGATGAGAGGATATAGACGCAAATGTATGAATGCGAAATTTACATACGAACCGGTGAGCCCGAGGGAGAGCTTGGTGATGACGGCGCCGGTGATGCCGAATCCGACAAGGAATGGCCAGGTCCGGCTGAACTCACGGCGGAAAAACACCGGCCACGGATCGAATTGCCTCATCTTCCGGCGGCTAAGCTTTTATACGATTTCTCTCTCTCTCTCTCTCTAGAAATGGATGTTCACTGATGAACAATACCGAATGGAAGCTGAACATCTGCGCTGGAACGCCTGTAAGTACATTCTCTCCCATTTCATGGGCCTAGAAAGAGCAGAGCCCGGATAAGTATATGGGTTGAAACTCATTGCATCATTTTGGGCTTGTTCCATAATGTGAACTAGTCCCTTGACCCTTCATCTTTTTTTCTTTAAAATTCTTCTCTATTACAATACGGAGTATTTATTTCGGGAGCGGAATGAAGCACCATAGTCCAGAGATACTTCAAATAAATTATTGTACACCAAAATCAATTCTTATAACAGTGCAATCGTGATATCTACGGTGCTCCGTTCAAAAAATTGATTGTCCGTTTGTTCCTATGCCCATGACCCCCACGGTGAACCCCCACAACCCGTCTCGTCCATAACACACCCTTACACCCCCTCTAAATTGAGTAGTTGGTCCATTTTATTTCATTCATTAGAACTCAAAATATCTTTTTTATCTGATCACAAACCCTTGAATTCTCAAAACAGACCCTGATCTATAGAGTTCATATGATGATCATAAACCACCAAAAGGCGAATGAATTAAATTCAACGAAAGGGGTAGAGAAGAAGAAAGTGAGTTGAGTGAGAGAGTCCATGTATAAGCGCGATAGATTCTTATTAAAAATGATATTCTACCTCTATTATAGGGTTTGTTTTGTTCAATTTAATTTTCAACTTATTAAGTACGAATTAATTCAATTGAATAATCACAAGGCTCTTGATACGAATCTTTTATGATTCATACCGGGATATGGAAGAGCTTTGAGCGTTCTTCAAATTGCTAGAAAGGGGAGACAAAGAGAGAAACAAAGCTTCGAGCATTTTCGAGCTCCAAAAAAAGAGAGACGAGTGATTAAGAAAATTTTTAATTATTGATTGATTGAACGATAATAATATGGAATTACAATATATATCGATGAGACGTCACACTCACGCGACTTAATGGGCTCGGGCCCATACAAAACCTTAATCTATAGAATATTAATAAATAATACGAAGTAATAAATAACTACTCCCTCCATCTAGGAATAATGTTCCCGTTCTACTCTTTTTTCTGTTCCTTATTTTGTCTACTCTTCCAAAAATCTCCTCCTCATTTCCTTCTCTTCTCCCCTTTTTTCCTTTCTTCATTTTCCTTCTTCTTTTTACTCCACCACTGTCTTCTTTCTCCTTATTTTTCTTTATCGTTCTTCTCTCCTTTTTCTCCTCTAATTCCACCATATCTTTTTCTTTCTTTTCTTCGTTCTTCTTCTTCTAATTAACTTTCTGTATCAGCTCTCTAAAGTATTTGTCTTAGAGAGGTACAATGGAGAAAGACATCTTCTAGAATATGAAGAGGCGATACAATTAATATCAAATATAATATTTATTATATTGAACATGCTTCTGACATCAGTGTCAGAAGAGAGCGAATCCCAAGATTATCTTGGAAATCTAGAAGTAACATATACGGGAGACCTTTGGCGGAAATGTCTGTATATTTAGAGAACTCGTACTTTGCCTAGAGCAACTTTGTCATGTATAAAGTGAATATCAACCTCAACATGTTTCGTTCTCTGGTGCTGAACAGGGTTTGATGATAAGTAAACATCACTAACATTGTGGATCTAACTCGGCTCGATAACAACATTGGTAACCTCATGGTATTCTGTGGTAGCCTGCCATTTTGAGGATCAGGAAACAAGATTGTCACCGTGTGTCTAGACAACTTGCCTAATTTACATATGAGTATGCATGAAGAAATGTAGTATCAGAAAGAGAGATAGTAATGCCATATGTAGTTAGTGTCATGCAGTCATTAAAACCAGTCTAGTTCATGGTAATGCACAAAACACGCTTCATGGTAAACCAAAGTAGTCATTAAAACCAGTCTGGTTCAAGAACTGCAGTCTCACATAGTATTTAATATGTGAGGAAAATTGGACTAGTTCGAGACTTGTAATGATCATGTTGAAGAGTTGAAATAGTTCAATATTAGTAGAAGACTAGTCTAAGGACTATGACAAGTCAAAAAGATCAGTGCTTTAAAGACTGGAAATAGGACACTTTTAAAAAACAAAATAAGTTATATGAATCCAAAGTTTCAAACTTAAAATACTGGTAAAAGTTGAGTGTTTCTTTTGACTTGAAACGTCAGTATAGTTGTAATAAATGGATCATGGATCACTAGTGTTGAAAATTAATGATCTAAAGTTAACTTTTTGGAAACTTAAAAGACTAATCAGTGCTAAAACCAATCTCTTTGTACTCATAAGGTAGATGCAAAATGTGAAATTTGCTCCTCCAAGTAGCACCAAAATGTAACACTCTTTTCCAAATGATACCGAGTAAAATTTCTTCTCCTCCAATTATTTATTAATAAAATCCATATACTAATAAAATAATAAAATATAATGTTTATAGAATGCGTAGTATTCTTTTAATATAGACATTGTATGTACTCTCTAAACTTTTGTTTTTCATTACTTAGTCAAAAGTTTGGGACAAAAAAAAGCTAAATAAAATAGTTAAAAATGTGTGGAGCGAGTATTCAATATTACTCGGAGTAATTCTGGTGTTGTGAGAGATTATATTTGCCATCACAACTCGTATGAACTACAGAATGTAAATTGCAAAGGTTAAAATTTATCCGTTTTTAATCAATATATTGACTGTATGCAATTCCCTGTCAAGCTAGCCGGTCTAGCTCAGTTGGTAGAGCGCGTGGCTTTTAACCACGTGGTCGTGGGTTCGAGTCCCACGGTCGGCGGGTTCTTCTTCTTTTTTTTTAAAAAAAAACTCTTATCTTTATTATCTCATTTTTATATTCAAACTAAAATTTAAGAGCTTAAATATGGAACCAGAGAAGGGGAAGAGGGGACGATATTTAGGCTTTGTTGTTGGGATGAAAGAAAAAAAATGATATCATTGTTATTTGGATGAACAGAGACTGAAGACAAAAGTAAGTGAAAAGAAAATATACTAAAACAAAAAAGACTCTTTTGTCCTTACTATATACTACGGAGTATAAAATTGAAAGGATAAATGGCAAAAATGTTATTTAACAATTTTTTTCTTTTCTTGAGACCAAAGGGAGTTAAATTACATTAACAAGATGATGAAATCAAGGGGAGGACTCTGAATTCTTTCTCCTCAGCTCTGACGTGAATGAGAAGCCCGCACCAATATGCGGTCCGGCTCATTAAAATATCGATATATAAAGTGAAGATTTAAAATACTATTGGAGGAGGCACAAAAAGATTCACAATCAGTAATAATTATCAGAAAAATTGTTATGTGCTTCCACAACCTTTTTGCATTCATTTTCAACATTCACCAACTTCTAACCTTTTGATTTAAACAAACAAACACGAAAAAGTGTGTTGATTTTCTCCCTTACCTTTTCCTTTGCCTTCATTATCACCCAATCCAAACAAGCTCTTAAGAAGTATGAAACACTGCACTTTAGGCCCTAAGAGCACCCACATTAAGTGGAGGAGTAAAGGGAGGACTACTTCCACCTCTTTTCTCCACATCATATTTTATGGGTCCAATTCATAACTTCTCCATTTACTTTTCATCAACTCTTACATCAAAAGGATTAGTAATTTTATTATGTGACTTAAATAATTTTTTTATTATTAAATATTTATACTGTATACAATTATTTTAATTTAAAAATTAATGAAAAATAAAATTGTACTTCATTAATATATTTAAAAAAGTTAATTAAATTTTTTTCAATAAGGAGCCAAAAATTATCTAGCAAACATATAATTAAATATATTACTACAAATGAACTTGTAAATCTTTAATTATGGTAAAAATAATTATAAAAGTTTTATATTTCATATCTAAAAATTTAATTATGGTAAATATTTAGAAGGAAAAAAAGAAAGAGTAGGTGTTTAAAACGAAAGAAAGAAAAGTATGTTTTCTCAAAATTAAGAAGCAAGGCGATTGAATTTTTTTCTCTTCAAATTAATTCAAACCATTCAGTTTTTGTTCAATTCCACCGTAAAAAAAATTTTCTACAGCCCAATATTATTACTCCGTATTAAAAATAGAAAAGGAAAAGAAGAAGTGACACATGTCATATAAGGATTTCATTCATGTAATAAGTTTATTTTTAAAATTTATCTCAAATTTTATTATGTATAAATTTTACTTTAGTTAAATGTAAATTTTTTTAAATAATATATGAACCTTATGAAGCATTTAAAATGTTGATTTGTTATCATTAGAGGGGAAATACAAAGTACAAACTAGATTTTATAGATATTTCTTCCATTTTTTTTATGAAGACATTTCTCTAGTGTTTCGTTTGTAAAATTGATGATTTCTACCTTTGAGTCCACCACAACCCAACCCAGCCCGACTTCTGCACCCCACCTTAGACCTTATTTTACTCTCTCCAAATGTTTATCTATTATATATTCGAGTATTATCCATTGACACTGGCATCGAATGTCAAAACAAGCTCAACCCATAGTTATTTCAAATTTTATCCAACTTTAGGGCCAACGTCAACAAGGACAAGTAGACAACTTTGCTCTATTTTGATTTTTGAAAGAAAAAGAAAGAGGAGAAGAGAGAGAGAGCAAGGAGAGCGTGTGAGGACGGAATGAGTGATGATGGACCATACAAAAGCGCTGGACGGGAAACAGACGGCGGCAACCGAAGCAGTCTCTGGAAGAAGAAGAAGAAGCTCAATGGAAAACCCTAGCAACTCCGAGGCTGAACAGCGACGGTCTTCTCCTCTCCCCGACAAAAAGATCTCTTCGAGTAGCAGAGAGGAAGGAGAGCTTTCCGATGACGACGTATTCTCCTCTTCCTTAACCCGCATTTTCATATTTGCTTCCATGTTTTGAAATCGCTGCGTTTGGAGTTTATCTCAATATCTGTTTAGCTGTTCTGACAAAAAATTTATGAGCTCCTGTGTTCTATTTCGATCGTCCTTTAGGCATATTTTGATTCAGTTTTGGTTTGAATATTGACGATGAATGATATAAAAGTTAATGAATTGGCTTTTTTAAGTTTCTGAAATGCCTACTTGAGAGGGAGAAGAGGCTATAGAGATGGAACTAATTATTGGACCTTTTGAATGTACTGATCCAAATATAGAAGAGCTGAAGGAATTCTTTGTGACAGGAAAATCAACCTCACTGCTCAACTTCACAATTCCCCGGTGTGAATGCAGCTAAACAGAAGGCCATGGAAACTGAGTTGGTTAAAGAGACTCATGGTAATGAGGCTGGTATGTGTTGCTATACCTTGAATGGAAGCTTTGTCTACTTTTTTTTTTTTGTGTATTTGGTGAAATAGGTTTTGTGATCTGAGATTCTTGATAAGGGCGAGTCTGGTGCAATGTTGGAGTATATCCATTTGTGAGTTGTCTCCAAGAGGGTTTACATGTGCCTGGGCTTGGGGCAGCATCACACGATGACAGTAAGGATGATGAGTTTGGACACTTTTCATTGCAGGGTTGACATGCAAGTGCAGAAGGAAGGTGTCACTATTGTATTGTAAAATAAGATCATGTTCTCTTCAACTGTTTTGGGGGTCTGATTTGGGTTGATATTATGCAAATTTATAATTATGCAATGCTTGTCCTGTTTGGTCTGGAGTGATCTTTTTTCCAATTTCATTTTGAAATAAGCTGAGGAAAATAGGTTCCATGCAGAAAACTTAGGAGATGATGAGTTTTCTGTAACTATGGAGTACTGCCTAAAACACTTGAGCCACCACACCAACTGATACACACAAATAAAAAACACTACGAATGGAAACTTCAACTCTGAAAACTTAAACTGCACTCCACAATCATGGTTAGCCTTTGAAATGTATGCTAATTAAACGTATCAAAGGTTACATATTTTGATCCGCCCCATCGAAAAGGCTTCCCATAACTCCTTCCCAAACCCCTCAATGTATTGGAGCTTTGACGCTGTCGACACTCTTTTTAAGTCAATGATGTATGCCTTTACCTTAAGAGTGGCCACTGACCAATATAAGCTGTCTTTGTACTTTGTAGATGTTTTATGTCTTCAATTCTTCATATGGTATCCATGTACAGTGTACTACTTTGGCTTATTTGTATCATGATGCAATTCGACTTCCAATCATATAGGAAGACTTGACTTCCTCTTAAAGGCTATTACAAATTTTCCTCTGAATAAATTTATTGATTTATTTATTTTCTGCAATGACTTATCCTTTGATTTCTAATATTTTTTTTCTCATTTTCACAGGAAGGCGTGTGTCTTCTAACACATTAGACAGATTAAGTTCACGACCTTCTCAAGAGTCAAATGCCCAAAAGAATTCTGATAAGAACCGAGGCTCATTCGTGCCATTCCTGATAAGTTTTTCAGATGATGAAAGTGGCAGTGACCCAGAAGGTACTCCACAGAAAAATGTTATGACAAAAGAAAGCAGGAGCCTATCTGTTAATACAAGCAAGAAACCACCACAAGCATCTGTACGAAAACCACAAAAAACAGGAAAACCAATGAGAAATGAGTCTAAAGTGGCGAGAACAATGCCACTTACTCACAAAATTCTTTCTTCATCTCACAACATCAATGCAACAACTCATAGAAGGGGTGGATCTTCACTAAATGTTCGAAGTTATAATAACTTCAAGAAGACAGCTGGTCCATCTTTTGTGCACAAAACAAATACGACACTGGATAATAGCAAACTACAAGATCTACGGCAACTGATTGCTATTCGGGAGAATGAATTGAAGCTTAAGAGCACTCAGCAACCAAAGAATTTCAGTTCAACTAAATGTAACACACTCAGTACTACGGGTACATGTATTAGCGTGACCGGTGTGTCCGGAGCCACTGGTGCAGAAAATATGCCACATGAGGTAAAAGAACCTAGCAGAAAAATCCAAAGGATTGGTGAAAAGCATTCAAGCCAGATGGTTCAGAATGTTCATACCACAGATACAGTATTTGCACCAGAAAAGCCTGTGCTAGCAAATTGTGGTCAACCTGGTGTAGGTGGTCAAAACAGTCATAACAAAGTGTTTCGTGCTGGCACATCTGACGCAAGCCTTACGTTATGCCACAATGAGAATGAGAATCAGGGCTCTACATTTTTGACGAATTTTGATGCTGGTATGAAACTTGGCAAACATAAAACTAATGAGTTCACCACGACACCACTTGAATTGATAAAAGCTCAAACTCTTAAGGACACTACTTGTTATTGTATAGGTACAGATTTAATCACAGGCCAAAGTTGCTGGAAAACAAACCCGAGAGACCATGTGGCTACATTGGAACAATCTGCAGTTAATGAATCAGTATGTTATAGGCTGCCAATATATTTTTTCTACAATTCTTTATACTCCGCATATGTTTATTTGTTGTCATTTTTGTGGCTGCTGATTGTTTGTATTGGACAAGACACTTTCATGTGCTGTTGATTATGAGGCTGCCTATTGAGAGTGGTTATGCATTAAGTGTTTTTTGAGTACTTTATACATTTTTACCATTAGCATTCATTTAATAACTGTTCTCAGCAATATGTTATTGTATATAGTACTTGAGCTAAATAGTGTGCTATATGTGATTTAAGTTTTAAATACTGTCTTAAAAAGGGAGGAATCTATATGACCAACCATCTAGAGTTTGGATTTGGCCTTTTATGGTGCTGTGCAAGAATGCCCATAATGTATTTGAAAGCAAAATACCTGAATGTTCATGTGCACATATATACCAACTTAGTTGGGGTCTGAGGGGTCATGGTGTACTTAGTCATACCTCTGTAATAAACAAAGGTAATGAACAGAGAGTTCGTTTTTGTTATATTTGTCTATTGATTGGAGAAAATGTACCGGCCATGCTCTGGTCATTGGAGTGTAAATCCAATTTTCATGTGATGGAGGGACCTAAAAGGACACGACTCTTCAATTGAAACTGAAAGTTCAAAAGGAAAGATTTATTTATTTTAATGTAAACAACAGACCTAGGAAAATCCTGCAAAAATAGGGTTTGGGGAAATTGTGTATGCACATTCCTTACCCTTACGAAAGTAGGGTCTGGGGAGGTGTGTGTATGGAGGGGTGCATGTTTGTTAAAATTGCGAGTCAACTCGTAAGATTGCACGATTGTACGAGTCAGGGTCATAGCATCCATCAAGATCGCTGAAGTCGGAATTTCCCGAAGTAGTTCCTACCCTCTACAAACCCTGAACCCCAACCTAGTTCCCGCTCCTGGGTGACAATCCACTGTCAAAATGGTTGGGATGGGGCAGGGGGTAAGAACCACTTCGGGGTCAAATGGAGCACCGGTAGGCCCTCAAATGGACCCAATGTCTGTGTTGGTTGGAGAAGTTGTTCAGGTCATTGAAGGGCGTAACACCATTTTTCATGCATTCGTGTTTTTATTTTCGAGTTAATTGTCATCACTTTCCTGATAATACTGTGTATTTTATCTTCTGTCTTTCTTCCAAAGACTGCTTGAATAAGCACCCTAGACATTCCAAGATATTCCATTCAAGTTCAATCTTTTTGTTTTTTAATCTAGGCGGCGATGGTTTTTTTCTCAGTCAGAGAGTGGTTATGCATTAAGGGTTTTACGGGAACCTCTCTTTATAGGGGTAAAATTGTTTATATCTTGACCTCTCACACCAACGCATTGACTAAAGTCTGGCTGAGATCTGAGTTTGAGCTCGTCAAGGGATGAACTGACAGTGTAATACTTAATGCAGATCTAGCACTTAATTTCTATGTGATGTTTTCCTGATTGGCACATGAATATATGATGATTGAATGATCATGAAGGGTTGAGTATATGCTTCTCTCCTCTATGCCAATCCAGTATTATGGTATTATTGGGGAACGAATGTTTAGAACATAAACATAAAAAGCACTGCAATTTCCTATTTGCATAGTCACATTTTTAAATTTTCTATTCCAGCGTCAGTGTTGACATCACAGTAAATTTGTTGTTTTATACTTTATGCTAATGTGATTTTTATGTTGCATGGTTTTATTTGTTAATCTTTCTAAACAACAACAACCCAGTTTGTTAATCTATCTATTAGAACCTAAATTGGTATTTCTCTCTACCTTCCCATTCTAAGATTGAAGTGGAGATGAACGATCCAACTAAGCATAGTGAACAAAGCATCTATCGCCCTGGGTACGTTGGAAAGAATTTTACAGGAAGAGGCTGTAGTTTTCAAATCGGATCAGTTCAACCTGCTGCACAGAATGTAAATCAGGTAAACCATTAATGTTGTTGGGGGAACCTTAGTCAGTGATATTGCACATTCTGGTCTATATCTCGCGAAAAACAGCTTAAGCTTAATAGAGTGGGGAAGCGCCAGATAATTTTCCCTGGCCATTTTTGGTTGCAAATTGTTCTCTATTATACCAGTTCTTCATGTCTTAACTACTATGTCCACTATTTTTTTTATCTTGACCAAGGAATCCCTGAATATTCAACAAGTACCACACAACTTCAGAGAAGCAAACATATCTAGAAATAGTAGCATGAACATGCAATCACTGTTGGACATTGAGGAATTACATGATAAGCAACTCGAGGAGGCTCAGGAGTATCGGCACAAGTGTGAAATTGAAGAAAGAATTGCTCTCAAAGCTTACCGAAAGGCTCAGAAAGCTTTGATTGAGGCAAATTATAGATGTTCTGCTCTATTCCGTAAAAGAGAGAAATACTCCACACAACTTCAACACTTTATGATAGAGAATCCAGTCTATCCAGATATGTTCTTTCCCCCTGGGTCTCAGCTGGAAAGTGGAGCTGGGCTTAACCTCTCGACCAATAATGGTGCTAATGCTCATTTGATGCTCTCTTCTTGCTATCCTGCACAACATGAAGATCGTCATGATCATCAAATGCGTGATGTGGAGTTCCATTCTACTTTTGATGCAGTGCAAAATGCATCAGACATGCCCGCTGATAGGGAAAATTTAGCTTTTGATCATTTTAGTGAGCCTGATGTTAGTATGGCTGAGATTACTAAGGTCAATCAAAAAGCAAATGGTGTGTGTTTGCAACCTGATTATGTCAGCATGTCTGCAGAGGAAGAAAATGGGCTGTTTCAAAAGTCTCCTTTGAACAGTTCAGAATATCTTGGGGAGGAGGCATATAGGGTGACCCAAGAAAAGGAGGCAAATAATAGTCCAGGAAGGCATACATTGATCAATACTTCTCAGGATTCTATGTTACTTGAGGCATCTTTGAGATCTCAGCTTTTCGAAAGATTAAAGATGAAATCTTTGTCTAAGGAAGTAGACAAAAATCAGAATGTGGAGCAGATCACTGAGAGTATGTTAAATGTAGATGATGTTGAGCAAAGGATGGGAATGAGTTCTGGCAACATGTTATCATCTGATGTTGAGAAAGCGAACGAAAAGGATTCTGATTTCCAAGGTATTCTTCCATTAGACATATTACTGAGTTACTTCTACTCAAAAGTTTCTTGTGAATATTTTATTCATAGGCTATCAATCTCGTAATCAAGTCATAGTCAAAATGTCACTTCTGGAGGAAACATAGTGCATAGCTGCATTTTATTATACTCTTCTATGCTCTTTGGGTAACAAAATGCTCCATGCTATGTGAAATCTGAAATTACTTGCTCTTTGGGTAACAAAATGTGTTGAACATGCAATTTTTCAGGCCTTCAGTAACTATTAGTTTGATCTATATTTATTAATTCCTTTTTTCTCTATTTTTCATTCTTTTCTACCATAAAACCATTTTCTAGTTAGACCTGCATTTTGCATTTAAAGAGATATCTTGTCAGGCATACCTTTTTTATTCTATTTTTTCTTCTTTCAGTATCTTCTGATAAAGCAGAGTTAGAGTATGAGGCCCATGTTGAGATAAATGACCATTGCAATAGTGAAAAGTTTGGATCCAATTTCCACCCTATACTCTCCAATGATCATTTGAGCAGTTGCATGTCCATAGATGATCAGCAATCACAGTCGCCAAGTTTTGCAACCTTTTCACTTCCTGCTTTCAGGAGTGCATTTTCTCACTTCAAGGGTTATGATGCCAACAACTTTGGCAAACTACAGACTAAAAGTGTAAATATGCAAGCTTCTCATCTTAATGAAGCAAAGGATGAGGAGACTATGGAAACCATTTTGGGAGTAGAAGAATATGCTTCATTGGATCTACATTATAACAAAAATGGTTCTTATGCCTGCAAGTTTTCTATCGATCCAATTTGGCCGCTTTGCATGTATGAACTCCGAGGGAAATGCAACGACAAAGAATGTACTTGGCAGCATTTTAGGGACTACTCTTCTGAAAATAAGTTGAACCCTACTTGCAATAACAGGGGTATGTAATTTGTAGAAGTATAGTGGCAGTTGTGCAATTCTTCATAGTTTTATCCTCAGCACATTACTCTTACATCTTTTTTACTTTGTAGATGTGAAGGATGGATCAGCAATTGAAAGAGGAAAATTTCTTTCCAACAATGCTCTCACCATGTCACATGATTCACAACTTTTGGCTCCCCCAATAGCTGGCTTTGATGTTATGAAATCTAATTCACAGACATGTAAATCTGTTGTACCTCAAAGGAAGTGTTTCAGTGGTTTCCTTGTCCTTTCAAGTCTGCTTCTTACTGACCTTGTTTGTAAAGAGCCGTTTTTGTATGGCTCTGAAGTTTGTGTTGAGGTCCATGGGGGTTGGAGTAGGCAGCTACTCTATTTCCAAAACAGGAACGGAACCTCGGTTCGTCTCAGTAACCTTTTCCCTTCATTGCTGCCTATTAGGAGTATTAATTCTTATTTTTAACATTTGAAATTGAGAAGAAACTTCTAAAAGAGCATATTCTGAATTCATTTATCTCTGTTTAGAGCAAGAGATGATATTTGAACTAAATGCATATTTATATGCAAGACTTTGATTTGTTTGCTTATGTAATTTGTATTTTGCTCTGTCCTCCTGACCACGTGTGCTTAGTCTATGGAATCTCATATATTCTTGCAAGCGTGGCTCTTATTATCCAACTTATCTAAAATTATACTTAAAAATTGCTTTGTCATGGTAATTTATTTTGTTTAGTCCTCAAGTATTCATTCTATGATAATACTACTATACCGAAGTCATCAAATATTTTTTAATCTTTTTCACCTCATGTTTTCCTTTTCCTTTAATCTTTACTGGTATTTTCTTCAATTGCTATGTTCTCTGTTGGCAATATTGAATGAATCAACTTTTGACACTTAGCCCAAGGTATTGTTTTACAAATAAAAATCACCTTTCATCTGTCTTTGCTTACTCTTCGTGCTATAACAGATTGAAGGTGGCCACCAAGTTTCAGATAATGATCAATCCATAGAGTTTGCTCTTCTTAGTCTCTGTCAGGAGGTTAATAAAAGCAAAGGCCGAATGGAGGTGATTTGTTTTCTTGAAAATTGCCAATGTATTTCATTGAGGAGTTAAATAAGCTCATGCACTATCTGAAACATGTAGGCTCTTAAAGTGCTTGCTCGTGCTCTTGAAGCTGATCCTACCTCAGCACTTCTATGGATTGTTTACTTGTTGGTTTACTACAGCAATCAAAAGTACATTGGGAAGGATGATATGTTCAAACACGCGGTACAACTATCCAATTGTTTTAATGCAAAAGATTTCCATTATACAATATACATTTGTGTATTTTATCTATGTGAGAAATTTATATACTCTCTGTCCCTTAAAAACTTTCGTACTATGTGGTTTCCTTTTTTGGTCTGTCCCTAAACTATTGCTATTTGGTAGACTGTAAGAGTAAAAGTTATTTAAACTAACCACCTTAGTTAAATATCCCCACATTACCACATACCACCGTTAATTACCAATATAGTCCCTACCAGTCATACCACAAAATTGGAAGTGAAAAAGCAAAAATAATGATTCACCAATAATTGTTCCATGCCATACTAAGAAAGGGATAGAGGTAGTATAATAAATGACAATCCTTGCTCCATCTTATTTTGTCCTTTTTTCTTTTGGAAGTTATCGCAACTTTGCTTAAGTCTAATTGAACTTATAAAATACTTGTACAACTAGTATCCCCATGTTTATATACAACAAGCTTTTGATTGCCAATTTTACTCAAACTAATTACTATTAGAAATATGCCGTAGTTCACAGAATTTCATTTTTTATTCAGCTAGTATATTTCAGTTAGATATGTGCTCGTTAAATTTAGTAAGAGTTTAACATGTCATTTACCAGAAAGTAGAGTTAAGTTAATAATTATAGTACACAGGACAAATAAATTGGTTTGGAGAGACCTCTTGGGTGGGAGCCTGGGAGGTCGGGTAGCACTCTTTGACATTTCATCCAAATCTGCCAACTAAGTAGTGAATACTTATTCAGATAGTCCTGTGTGGACATGACTGCAAGTGAGGTTTGATCCTTAGTGAGAGCGTGGATCTGGAAGGGGTAATTTGGGAGGAAGGGAATATAAATACATGACAAAAGTAACAAAACCCACTAGAGACATGAAATTTAGACATTCTAAGTCACTTTCCTACGCGTCACATTCATTCGATGATTCTGGTTGGTCACATGATCATAACGCAATGAGTGTGTGCTATATAAGAGTGCCACATTTTCATGTCTCCCTAGAATTGCTCTTTCCCTAAAGAGTGGTTTATCACTCAATTTGACTTTTGTCTGAAGTTCTGCTCACAGGTGGATCACAACAAGAAATCATATGAACTTTGGGTATTATACATCAATAGTCGGGAAACACTCGATCAGCGGTTGACTGCATATGATGCTGCAATATCTGCACTATCCCGTCACGCGCCCGCTCCAAACCAAGATGCCCTTTTTGCCAGCGAATGCATCTTGGACCTCATTCTCCAGATGCTGAATTTTCTATCTATGTCTGAAAATGTTGGAAAAGCAATTGAGAGGATCTGCGATCTCTTTCAGACACCAGAAAAATCTGACAATCCTCCACAAGATAAGTTGTTCCTCCCTGATATAATTACATGCTTAACAATTTCCAATAAATGTGTTTTCTGGGTATGTTGTGTCTACATGGTTGTGTATAAACGATTGCCGAATTCTATAGTAAAACAGTTTGAATCCCAGAAAGTGCTTTCTTCCATAGAGTGGCCTCCCGCTCAGTTAAAAACAGATGAGAAGCAGCAAGTTGTCTCCCTGATGGAATTGGCTGTAGATTCATTAGCGTCGTATATCGATAGGGAGTCTCTTGAAGTTGAATCAAATCTAAGAGCAGCACACCTCTTTGCTCTGAATCACGTCAAGTTTGTTTCAGTTATCGAAGGCATCGAGTGTAGCAGGAACCTTCTGGGGAGATATATAAAGCTTTACCCGTCTTGTTTGGAACTTGTTTTAATGTCAGCTAGGGTAGAACACGAGTTCCGGGATTTAAGTTACGAAGGGTTTGAAGAAGCTTTAGACAGCTGGATGGATGATGTTCCCGGGGTTCAGTGTGTTTGGAATCAGTATGCTGAGTGTGCATTCCGAGACGGGAGATTGGATCTCGTGACGGAATTAATGGACAGATGGTTCCGGTCCATTGATTTGCCCAAATCAGCTTCGGTCATGGATGTTCATTCTTGGCTGTCAGGTTCTACCCAGACCGAAATCGTGTTCGGGTTACTCAATTGCGCTTTGTACAAGCTACTGCTGCAAAACGATCTGACCGGAGCTCGTCTAGCTTTAGACAAAGCATTGGACACCGCCGATAACACTGAGACTTATAATCACTGTGTTCAGGAGAATATCATGTTTCTGATGACTACATCGGCAGACAGAAGTGCTTTACAAGTTCTGAAAGGCTTCCTGTTTGATACCCGAGCTTCATCTCGATCCAAACCGTTGACTCAAAACTTCATCCGAAACATCCAGAAACCCAGGCTCCAGCAACTGGCGAGGAAGCTATTGACTCCCGCCCCCACCGACCCCACCCTGGTTAACTCTGTCCTGGAATCATTCTTCGGCCCATCTCTCCTCCCAAGCACCACCCACAACCTGACCGATACAGTTGATTTGGTCGAAAGCTTGATGGAAATGCTTCCATCAAACTATCCCTTGGCCATTTCAGTCTGCAAGTGGATATGCAATGCCGCCTCCAGTTTACCCGCCAGCGTCTCCTTCTGGGCAGGCTCCAACTTGTCGAACACGCTCTTCCAAGCGGTCCCCATCGCGCCGGAGCATGTCTGGGTGGAAGCCGCGGATCTTCTGTGTGGCATGAAAAGCTGCGAGGCAATAACTGCTAGCTTTCACAAGAGGGCCTTGTCCATACACCCATTCTCATTGAAGCTTTGGAGATCATACGCGGACGTAACTACGGGTACTGGAGAGCTGGTAAAGGAAGCAGCAAGAACAAAAGGTATTCTCCTGGTTTAAACTTTTTGTGTGTTTGATGCTTACTAGTAGATACTAACTTAGGAAGTAAGGTTGGAAATATATATATATATATATATACACACACACACACACACAATGTGCAGCAAAAACTTTGAACACACAAGAGGTTTAAAATAGTTGGCAACTTCTGGCTAGGGTTATTTTTGTCAACCATGAACAAGAAAGTTGAAACAACAGTTACAGACTCTAGAGGTGACAATCCACAACAATATTATTACTAATGTTGAAGAATTTCTTGTTACTTGTTGGTCTATTTTTTGTTTAATACTCATTTTCACGAGTCATTTGTTAAAATAATATAGTTCATGTCCGTTCTTGTTTTATAGAGCATTTGATGTACTAGCGTTTAAATACTCCCCTGTCCTAAAAATAACGGTTTGACTTCATGGAGTTTACAAGGAAGTGGAAAGTATGGATAAGATATACTACCTCCGTAAAGAATACGTAAAATTTCAGTCTCAAAATAATTGTTTCACTTCTTTACTTTTCTAATAAAGTAAAGAATACGTGGTCACAAATTTTCTTTTTCCTCTAATCAAATTTCAATCACTCACTTTATTTTTGAGTACGTATTAAATTTGTGAAGTCAAATTGGGAGAACTAATTCACGATGGAGGAAGTATTTTAAAACTTTATGCCATCATTTAAATACATCGAATTGAAAATGAATTCAGTGAACCATCTTAATCCATAGTGCCTTTAGTTATGTCTGAGACGAGTCACGAGAGGGAGAATTATATACCATCCAAAACACATACATATGAGGGAGGAGAAAGACTTGTTGGGAATTATGAATTTCGAATTTTATTACCCACTCCCTCATAAAAGAATCCCTCGGTAATTTTTGCCCGCAAATTATATTATACAACCGGCTGTACCCAAAATTGGATACAGTTGGTAAAACAAAACGGCAAGCCAAGGAAGAATCGGCAATTTTGGATCGGAGATAGGGCAACACACTAGATCGATGAAGTGGCAGCGCGGATTGCGAGGGCAGCACACCTGATCGACGATGCAAGGGGGCAGCGGAGGTGATGGCGGTCGCAAAAACCTAGGTGGTAGCGGAAGTCGCAGATGCATAAACATAGATTCGCTAATTTGAGCGTTTCATGACGAAGACCAAGAAGAGTTCCAGCTTTAAGACTCAAGTGTGGAATTAAACGTGGAATGAACAATAAGTTAGTTGAGAATGAACACTACTCTATTTAAGAATTAGTACCACTTTATTTCAGAATGAACATTACGTTAATAATAAATGAATATTATAATTGTATTGAACAAATATGTGAAAATGATGACTACATTATTTCAGAATGAGTACTACGCTATATCAAAACAAACACTTATGTTTTGTACGAGAATGAGTACTAGTTTACGTTAAAAATGATTACTATCCGGCTGTACCTTACTTCTGGTACAAGGTATAACCGGCTATACCATATACGGACTCGCTTTTGCCCATTAAAAACACTTTAGTTAGGAGCTTGTTTTGTTGGGATTAGCGTACTCGTAAATGAGTAAATCGGTGCACGTATGGTCTTAGGACGGTGTGTTGCGCCTTGTTTGAGAACATTGTTCTTAATTAGTATTTGTGTTTTGAATAATTTTTCTTATTTTATAAATTAATTTTGAGAACGTTGAAAGTAAACGTTATCCTCTAAACAAACTAAAGGTAAATGGTAAAGTTTTGCAAGGCCTTTAGAATTTTCATTAAAAATATGAATTTTCTTAGGCAAACAAAAAGTAGTGAATATTTTTTTAGAGTGGAAAACAAATTTAGAATGATGAGAACCACTCGACAAGAAACATGAACCCTAGGACAACATTATTTATTGAATGAATATTGGGAAGTGGAATTCGAACAGAATAAATAAAAAATACAAAGATATGCTTGTCTCTCTTTTTCTCCAAAACAAAAAGAAGATAATTTTCTTAGTGCATTTTTTAATGAAATTATCTTTTTCTTATACTTTTCCTCACAAACCAAACAAGAAAGACATTTTTTCTCATTTTTTCTTCTCATTCAAATTCTTTGAACTAAATATTGACATTTTAAGAAGAAAAAAAATACTTCGTAGCAAGTAGGGTTGTAAACGAAATGAATCGAAACGAATATCATAATATTTGAATTTGTATTTGATTAATTTTTTCGAATACGAATCTGAATACGGATATAAAATGAATAAAAAATAAGATTTGTATTTGTATTCGATTAATATTCGAATAGTTAACGAATCCTAAATGAATATTTGAATAATCATACTTCGTAATTTATATGTCGATTTTGAATAATTTAACTTACAATAATTCTTATACCATATCTAAAAATATTAATACATTTGTGTCTTACACAATTTATATCTTATACTCCGTAATATATAACTATTAAAAATTGCATGCTTTAATTTTTTGTATTACGTTAATATCATAAAATCATAGTAATTTAAATGCAATTTATATTATACTAGTTTGTTTGATCAGTGATGTTGAAAACATGTTCTGTGTATATAAATATATTCGAATATTTGAATATCATCCGAATCAAATACATCTCTATTTGTATTTGTATTTGTTTAATATTCGAATCAAAATTAATATTTGAATTTGAATTTGTATTTGAATGACGCGAATTCAAATCATTATATTCGAAAATCACAAATAAAATTTAAAATATTTGATTTGTTTACATGCCTAGCAACAAAGAAAAAGCCAAGTAAAAGCCATAAGCTTGAACGCCAAATTAGTAAATTACTGAATTAGCATTCACCAGTCGCAGTTTCTAATTTCCTAGTCCCAAAAAAGATATTTATATTTATTATTTATATGAATAAACTTTTTTTACTTTATTTATTACTTTCATTACTTATTAGGTAAAATAACACTCCGTATATTTTTATCAACTCTTTTTTAATAAAACTCTTGGTGTAACTTTTTAAAACTTTCTTCGATTCAAAATAAATTTCTCAATTTTCTTTGTCTAAATATATACTTATCATTTTAAAAAAGAAATTAAATAAGTGGCCATAAAGAATTTATTCTCTCCTTCTCATATAGATTATTATCTGTCCCAAATTAAATTGCCTATTTATTATTCTCAGGATCAAATTTTATTTACTTTTTTTGCTATTTTTATTAGTCATTTAATAAAATAAAGTATTTATGTTAAAACTAGTTTTGTCAACCTTTTAATGTAGTATTTTAATATGTAACTTTTATTCTTTTAATTTTATACCACTTATCATATAAAATAATTTAAAAATAATTTTAGTCAAACATCGTAAATCAAAATGGGCGATATAAATTATGATAGAGGGAGTACATTTTAATTGAGCAATATCACTTTTTCTTGAATTTCGTGAAAAAACTTGTGACAAAAGAGAAAATTGAATTTATTCTATAATTTTGTACAAAAATTAAAATATATTGAATTGAAATTAATTTCAATAAAATATCATAAACTGTAATGTTAGCTTATTTACGTTGGAGGAATCACCCAGAAGGGGTCACCATCAAACTTAACCTGAGAGACACGTGGCTTTCAATACATCAGTCCCTTCACCGAATAAATATAAAGTCAAAGTTATTTTTATGTTAAATTGCGACATTAATTTTCAAGTTATCTAATTAGTCCTTCAACTTCAAAAAATCAAGGAATAAATCTTCCAAGACACATAAATGTTGAATAGCAACGTATTTTTCGAAGTAATACAAATTAATTTCTATAAATAATACAATATTATTTTAGGTTGTTGCTAAATCTACACCTTATTTCACTATATCTACCCCTTTTTGTATCAAAAACAATTTTACCTTTTAAGTTCAAAAAAGGGAAAAAAAAAGAAATGAAAGTACAAAACTATCCATTTCTTTTACCTGGTGTGCATTAAGCCAAATAGGGGTGGATTTAGAATCCCAACCATTATTTTAACTTATTACATAGTTGCCTGAACATAGTGAAAACAAGATATATTGATTAAAAATTTACAGCTTGAATATGATTTTTTGTTCACAACACAGACCATTGATAAACCATTTAACACTTGAATATGATTATCAGAATAATGACTTTTTGTTCCCTAACTCAGTAAATTTTCTTCTCTTCCCTACTAACTAGAAGTAGTGATATTAAGGTTGTCCCATCTCTATTTTTGCTTGGTGTTGTCCCTGAGACACCCTTTTGTTTCTTCAGTCAAAAGTATCTATCTTTGGCACTGCATTAAAGAAAGATTGTGATTCTGAGAAACTATTCTCTCTTAATACTTGAATACAAAAACAAGCCTTTATGGCAATGGGATCCTACATCAGATGTGTTTGGATGGATGGTGTGTGTGTGAGGGAGTTATATGGGTGTGTGGGTATGTGAAGTTTTACTCCAAAAAAGAATCTACTCCCCCCGTCTAAGAATTTTCTTCCCGGTTTGACTCGACAGACATTAATGAGAGATGAAAAAAACAATGACTTTCCACATTTGCCCTTGGACTAATAGTGTTAGGTAAAGTGAATAGTATAGATGAAATACCGATGATTTGATAGCTAATCATTAAAAATTGAAGAGTAAATTTGACATTTAAGAAAAACTTCTTTGACATAAAAAAGTGGGAAGAAAATTCTTGGATGGAAGGAGTATCGTTCATGAAGGGGAATGATATTGACACTCCAAAGTTTTTTATGGCACCAAACTTCACGCTGAAAGGCAAAAATATCCCTCATTACTTTTGCAAGCTTCTTTTAGGTGGGATACTTCTGTGAGTTCTGTCTTTCAATAATATATTTTAGAATCTTTCTTCCTTTGGATACCTGGGGCACTCCTGACAGCCGCCATAACTGGTTACTCATTCTGGAAATTAGGGAAATTCATTGATGGAATGTTCTTGTTCAAACCCTAGATAACAATCTGAAACCACGAGGAGCTTCATGCCCTGAGGTTGAAAATACGAACAAGTCAACACAATTAGAATCTCAACAAAAGATACAACTAATCCAGTAAAATCCCACGACAGTGTGTGTAGAGAGGTAGTTTCCTTCAGAACCCCATCTTGAGCACGATAGTACGAACAAAGGAAACACATTAGCATGAAGTAAACAAGAACTCAGACACAAGTTACACTTAATCGTACACAACAAACCAAGGCCCAAAAATCTACCCAAGTACTCTAATTATAGGTTTACAAACGTTCCTATCTAAGGTTAAGAAAAAATGGAGCAATATGAGGACATTTTTGTTAATGTCCACTCTTCTTTTTCACGCTTTCCTAGATGAATGTCTGACGCTTATGGTCTTACATAATACGGAGTAATAAGGAAACATAATGAAAAAAAATTGATTGAAAATGTTTCGCGTCTTAAAAAACTTAGATCTTATGATAGTTCAATGTATATTTTAATCGTGTTACTAGGCCAAGTTTTGTAAAATTTGACCCCAAGAAAGTAAAGTGAACAAATACATTCGGCCGGAGGGAGTGAAACAACAACTTGGCCAATAAATTCCCAAACAGTTAGGTCGGGTGGGGGTGTATGCAATCCTTAGCCCCATACCAAAAAAGGTGGTATAGAGACTATTTCTGAAAGACCCCACCTTAAAAACAAAAGACATAGTTGTTGTTGTCCAACTTGTAAAAGAAAATGAAAACAAAATACGAGAGCATGGAAAAAGCTAACAGAACACACAAAGGACCAAACAAACAAGCACCCCACTTAAAACTAGCGAGTGACAGAAAATCACTCCTATCTATGCCTACCCTACAAGGGTTGTCCTCGACCTCAAACTCTCCAAGCCAAGGTCATGTCATAGGTGAGTTGCAAAAGCCTAATGTCGTGCCTAAGCACCTCAGTGCAAATCTTTTTCAGCCTACCTCTACACTTCTAAAATTCCCAACCTCTCACACATCTTTACAAGAGCATAGTTTCCTATGCACATGCCCAGACAACTTCAATTTTGCTTCACGCATGATATCCTCCATAGAAGCCACTCCCACCTTGTCACATAGACAAATACACTATCGCTCTGAATCCTATCAAACAAAGGGAGTAAATCGAATGGAAGTAACTAGGCATTAAAGTGAGCACATTGTACTATCATACATTTTTTTCATGCGACACTAATACGCCACATGTAAAATATGAGTGGTGCTTACTTGAACTCTTTATTTTTTTTACTGAATTTTATGGAGTGTACTTTGGACAATTGCATCACTCAGGTGGTGGGAGTGTGGGACGTAAGGCAGCACTTCATCTGTCCCAGTTCTTCTTGTCTCTTTGGGATGTCCAAAAAGGCTCTCATTTCATTAAGAAAAGAAAGAGAATTGTGTGGTATATATGGGTTCATCTTTTCCAAACAAACTTCAAGCACTCAATTTCAATGACTAAGAAACATTGAACAAAGCACAAGAAGAGCATTATGGGACTAAGAGACTGAGGGAGTAATTAGTTAGTATACTGGTTCGATTTGAGGCATGCGAGTGACATTATTAAATAATATAGCACATAGTCAGCACTCTGTTTATTTTAAAAAAGATATTGTACTACCTGGAGGCTGCTATTTAGAGCTGAAGGCAAGTTCATGTGTGTCACTAAATGGTCAGAGAAGGAAACTCTCTTCAAAGCATGTAACTCTGACGTGGAAGGGTTACATAGGACTAACCACCATGCTTCATCTTTTATCTGCCAAAAGTTCCAATGTCAATTTTAGATCTTGCCATGAATTACAAACTGATGATGAAAGACCGATATTTACCTTTGGATACCGAGGAGTAAAAGCTTTAGATGTTCTACGGCCCCTGTTAATATTTTCCATTCTGATGTTTAGAGTGAGATTCTCCCTTCTCTGGATTCTTAGTCGAACTTGAATACGTGGGAAATGCTGTAGATCCTGCCACGGAGAATAATTGTGTAAAAGTAAAAAAAATGGGAGTAAAGTTGTTCATGCAAAGAAGACAAAACATATAAGGAGTACTCCCTCCGTCCCTTTTTATAACTCACATTTCCGTTTATGATGTTTGACTTAAGTTATTTTCAATTCAGTTTCTTCAAGTATTAGCGTAAAATTAAATTATTAAAAGATGAGATTTGAATATTAAAAACTTAATAAAAAATTTCTATTAAACAAGATGTGACTTGACTATTTTATTGTCCAAATGATTAAAGCAAATATGGAAATAGTAAAAGTGAAGTTTATATAGGGAAAGCGTGATTATTACATATCAATAGTATACAGTGTTATATTGAAGGAAGACGTAATGTACAATAATAGGCCTAGGTATGATTACAAAACAGTAAAATTCAAGATCAAATTATATAAGACTAGAAGAGGCACCTGATGCAGTTTTGAAAAAACAGAATTTCCTGCAACAGATTGCAGTGTTGCAGGAGAAAGATCGAATAGTTGCTGGATGTTGATAACACCGTGCTTAGCCAATGAGTTACATAACTCATTAGTCATGCTTGGCAACATCCAAAGAGGAGAATCCCTATCGAACCACAAACCCTGAAAAACAAAGGGGTGTAAATGGAAATAATATAAGCGAACTGGAAATATTTTAAAAAGTTTTAAGGGAGTCTACAAGTGCCTGAAAAATATATAGCAAACAAAAATAACATATATTCATTTTGTCTCTACAAAGAGTCATAATTTGTCTTAAGTGGGTCTTAAAGAATTACGGAGTAAATGTTTTCTTTAACTTATCGGTTATTAAATGAGGACATCAAAGCATGATTTTCACCAAATAAAGAAAAAGGACATTATTTAGGAAATGTCAAAACAAAAAACTATATAAATTCTATTTAGGAATGGAGGGAGTATACGGAGGTTTGAACACATGCAAGAAAATTGTGCTGGACAAAACGATCGCTGACGATCGTAGTGCTAGCTTACTAATTAAAGACCATGAAGAAATATCAGCACCCAGTGTAGCATGGCAGGTGTTGAGATACAAAACATGCCTAGCATACACGATAGCATTGTAAATGACAAACTCTAACTGTAACAAATTCAGAAGAAGCCAAATCCCAATGTACTGAAAAAAATCCTGCATTTATTACACTTAGACCTTTGTTGGCCTTTCATCTTTAACTAGAAAGGAATATAGAAGTGTTATATTACTTAAGATATTTATTTCAAAATACACGATTAAGTTTTCTATGAAACTTAAAAAATATGGAAAATTCAGAACATGGCATTGAAAATTTCTGTTTAAGAATGCATATGCGCTAAAACACAAGCACCATTGATGCAACTTACATAAATAAAATAAAGCAAAAAAGATATTAAAAAAGGGTACCTACAAGGAATTCTCTTTGACATACAAAATTCAAGAGAAAGTAACAAACAACAAACATCCTCTCTCAATTAGCTTCATACACTAATATAAGATTGTGCATGTGTGTGTGTTTTATGTGTATCACTATCATAGTAAATCATGAAGTTTGGGTTTCAAAGAAAAGTACTCCACAGATTTTTCTTCTAGCATAAATGAAGGCAGTGTATGGGACTGAGGGACAATTATAAACTAATATGGAGAAATTTCACGCACAAAAGAACAGGTACAGAGGAGACAATTATATAGAATAAGGTTAAATGTACTTTGTGCATGGAATAGGTTCATGCATTCCGCACAAGATAAAAGCCCACTCATTAAAAGGAATACCTGCATGACCATTTGCAAAATATGCATACACGTAAGGGTGCTTGAGAGCCACCCACTATTGGCACAAATATCTATCATTGCTTGGAGAATACGTATACTCTGATCCAGCACTGACTTCGTGTCTGTCACGTAATCAACAATTGGCAGCTCAGATTGGGAAAAGTGCGCCTGTAAAAGATCCCCATGTAAGTTAAAAAGCAACCATAACCCTAGCTGTACGTGTGTTAACAGCATATACTATGGTGCTGAATTTGATCCACTCAAAATTGAAAAACACTGAGAATATCCTACTATATACTCCATGTTTTTTCCTCACAACCTTCAATTCACTAGGGTATCATAGGTTCATATCCTCTTTCATAGGTCATCCATCATATGATTCATATTCTATTTTTCCCTATACAGCTCTGTTGGCTTCTTTTCCTCAGGCAGGAATTTCTGGTAAAAAGTACTTGTGTTACACCTGACCTTTTCTCCTCGGCGTCTCTCCAATGGAAGTTCAGACAAACCAGCCTCACCGTCACTCGCAAACCCTCGCCACAACCTGCCACTAGAATCTCTGCTGGCAGTTGTGCCATTTGTATGTAGCGGCAGTTCAAAGGATTTTTGTCCTCAAAGCTCTAACCCTTATCCTTCCTCACTGCGAATCTAGGCCCCACTCTGGTAGTGGTGGGTTCACCACACTCATGCAAACCAGACCGTGGTTTCCAATTTTTTGACAGCAACGCTGACTGAAGTTAACCCAATGTATCCCTCAGTTGCACACATTGCTTCTATTATGGTTCATTTTAATGCCTCATCTATGAGGTATGCCGTCAAATGTGGTACTCTTGAATTGAACATTAGACTCAGGAGTCTTAGACCACATTTCTAATGACCTACTCTCTTATAGTCTTATATAATATTTCTAAATGTACGCATCTACCTAGAAGCTAGAGTTATTCTTGTCAATGAATCTATATCTTGGTGATTGTGAATGATATTGTGATTACTGGTAATGAAAATAGAGATAACCTCTCCAACAAGCTTCAAACTAATCATCTGGGCAAGCTGTAATACTTTCTTTGCATTGATGTGAAGTAAATTCCAAGATGAAATATTATTAAAGAAACACACATCAAAGATTCAACATGCTAAATTGCAGTATAATGGATGATCTCATGGATTATGATGACAACCTAAGACCATATGAGGTGCTGCCATTATATTATACATAACAAAAAAGAGTCATTTGTAATCTGAACTATCTTACAATCATATGATGTGATATTCCCATATTAGTTAGTGTGCCTAGTCAATTTATAGAGCCTTCAAATAACTTGTTATTGCATTAATCCTATTCAGATCTTGGATACGTGAAGGGGCTGTTCAATATAGCTTATCTTAACTGGATGGTACTGAACTGAATGGAACATTACTAAAATTTAGTACTCAACTGAATGGTACTAAACTGAATGTAACATTACTAAAATTAAGTCTAACTAAATGGCCCCTAAGAGGCACCAGGTGAAAAAATCCTTTATGAAGATAGAGCCATAGAGGTCATGCTAAAATTGTTTATATACCAATGTACAACTGGAAAGATGCCCATAATCCATATGCCAAACATTCTACAATAAGGTATTGTGTATTTATTGAAGGTAATTTAATATCTTGAGAAAGTATGAAGCAAGACACATTGAAGTCCCAAAGTTGAGTCCTGGGCTATGGTCAGCGTCATAGTGAAGTTATATGGTATAGCTTTACTTAAGAAAATACAGCATGGGAATCGGCGCAACTGCCTCTTATATGTGATAACTAAGTAGTGTCACAATACCACAAATCTAGTATATCATGAGAGTTGAGATGATCAAGCATATAGAAATCAATTCTCTTCCTCCGGGAATAATATCATGTTGGGACTTAGGACACATCATTACAAGATTCATTTATTCTAGTGAGCAACTTGTAGCAATATTAGCAAAACCTCTAAGAGTTCTGAGACTTGACTATATATTTCCAACAAGCTAGGTGCATATAAATTATTTGCCTCCACTTGAAAGGGTTGTTGAACTGGGATTCTTATATATCAAATAGGGATTCTTTGTACATTCTACTGACACATCAATACAATACTTTTTTCCCATGATCTACATAGAGAAATCAACATGGTAGATTCTGATATCTTAATAATGTGGGCTGTATCTTAAAGAAGGCTGCACAAGCACTAATTGAGGGAAAATAAAGAAGGCTGTATCTTAATAATGTGGGCTGGAGAGAAACAAATAACCAAGTTTAGTGCTAACCTGGAATAAAAGATTTGCTTTCACATGAGGATTATCTAGGCAATTATTATCCACCATATATGGAACTTTATCAATCAAACTTTCATTATATTTGTCCTGAAACACGCAATAAAGATGTCTCAAAAGTAAATAAGTAACTTTTAATGCCAGCAAAAAAAAAGATAAATAACTAACTACTAGCACTAATGCCATTGCAAAATTGTAATAAATACAAACATTTGTATCATTCAATGATTAGGAAGAACACGATATATTCTTTTCATGTTGGTGATGCTATCAATAAAAAACGTTGTGCATGAAATATCCTTTTTGCCACATCAGATCTTTATTAGTTTCATTATATGTCATGAGTGTAGGAAGTCGATATATTGTGGGGAGGCTTTTATAAAAAAATAGTTTTAAAAGGTAATTTTTTAAAATATACATCATAAAATGTGCGTTTAAAAAAATGAATATAAAAGGTGGTTTTGAAAAAAATCTTAAGAGGTGGTTTCTTTAAAAAGACAAGCATACTAGGTCGTTGAAACAAAGTTTTCTTTTTTTATATTTTCCTTTTGCCAAACACCATTATTAAGTTGCTCCCGGAGTGCATTTTACAATGATACTTTCTAGTGACGAGAAACAATAACCATAAAATACATTTGCTGCATTTAACAAACATTATGTTCCACTTATGCACTCAACAGTACCGTTTCTGCATATGCACCCACACCCATCCCAGCGCAACCTAGGTAGGGAGAATGTGAAATGTTATTGGAGTGGCAAGTTGATGATCATTTGCATTGCTTTTCAATGTAAAGGACATAATTCATATGCCCTGACTTGAAAGGAAGTATATAATAAAGCTAAGTGATATGTATATTATTCTATCTTGCTTAAAAACAACTGAGGTGGTCATCTAGTGGGTGACAAATTCAGGAGGAGGTAATAGAAAAAACTGAAAGAACATCAAATAAGAGTAGAACTCATGTTTAAATTTGTGAGGGATATTGGAAAACTGAATTTGATTATAAGAATGTAAAAACAAAAACGTGTGGAATAAAAAAACATGCAGAGCTATGAAATATTTACTGAAGTGTAAAACGAGCGTACTTAAAAGTAGCACTTAATCATGTACATAAAAATTATGAATACAACTGTTTAAATCATTTTGAATTAAATTTTAGGAGTACCTCATTGTGGCGCACAGGAAGATCATCATATTCAGAAGCACCAGATAATATATGAAGGAATGCCTGAAAACATAAGGCGGTAAATATAAAACCAAATACAATCATAACCAGTAATAACAGTGTAATACCATCTTCAAAAGTTCACAACCTCAAGTGATGTGTTCGGTCCGATATTTGAACCAAACATTGAAACAGTAGTATACTTAAGATAATATTGAGAAGCAATTGACCCTAACATTAGGGGCTCCACACAATCATCACTAATCTTGATGCACCCACTGTCTTCCAAATCTTCAAATGTGTTTTGTACTAAGCTGTTCAAATTTTGGGTGTAGGAAAAATCAGCATTACCAATAAAAACAAAGATCTCGTAAAGGAACAACCGAACAACTAATGGAATATGTTAACACTACCATGATAAGTAAGAATTAATAGTTCCAGGTTCTGCATCCTCTAAACCATAATAAGCAGGGTTCACCATCTGTAAGAGACAAATACTCATTGTTAGAACATTATTTTATTTATTAACAAGATACTCCCTCAATCCCCATTTTGATTATAATTTTATTTTCTCTCTCCTCTCGATAACTTTTGTTTATTTGTGTGTTTTCATTGATTATTTGATAAAATAAAATATTCCTGTCACCTCTTATTACGTAGAACTTTGGACGTAGTTTTTTAATATGTAATTTTTATTTCTTATTGATGGACAAATTTGTAAATAAAATGATTTCAAAAATCATGGGATTTTACATCGTAATTCCTATTTTGAAATCAAAATAGGGACAGAGGGAGTAATAGACAACTATTTATACTGTCTCTTCATAAAACCTTAAATAAAATGAGGTACATTTAGACAAATCAAGATAATAGTATTACAGATAAGTTGATAAAATAGAGTCAAGACCCCAGTTATGATAAAAGTTGGCATATCCTTATTGAGCATTACTCCCGTACCAAGGTGTATGCTTTCACTTCATTAAGTTTAGGAATATTGTTGAAAAGAAAAAAGCAAGTGGTTGGAATTTGTTTAGAAGAGAGAGAAATGTTGTGCACCACAATTTCTTTTCCTATGATGGTAATGGGAGAAGAATAAATTTCATATTAGGGTAGATGGAAAAGGAAAGTATAAAGTTCATTGAGAAAGAGTATAATATATCCCCCATATCATATATTGTTCCTAAACTATAAACAAATGTTGATATGTGATTAGCATATTGAACACCAGTCAAAATGAAGATATAGCAAGGGACCATATTCATAGTTAATGGCCTCACATAACAACACCATACCATATAGAGACCTCACGATCTTATCACATTCATAGTAAATGGCCGAATAGAAAACATGAATTTGGATGGAGGGCTTTTATTTTCTTGCCTAGTTTCAAAGAGTGACAAAATGTCCACATATTTACAAATGTTTATCAAATTTAGTAAATGTAGACCAAGAGAAGCTCCATTGGAGTATCTGCATCATTATCATAAGAGAATGGATGAAATATGTACTACTTGATTGTCAATATTATGGTGCCTTACTCGAAAGGTCACAAAATTATACCAGTCTACGGAAATAATATGTCCATGTGAGATAATGCACAGCATCTTCTTTGTGAGCGATAGTTCCAGAAACTATCTCAGCATTGATGTGGTCATGCAACTGCTCCTTCAGGCTACTTTCAACAGGAAATGGTTCATACAGGAACTACAAAAGAGAGCAATAAATACCGCTTAAGAGAAATATCGCACCTCTTGTCACATAAGCCTAACAACAAATGAAAGCCCATTTACCTTCTTATAGAAACTTTTTTTGGGTTCATGAACAAGGATAACAGCTTTCCCGTGTTGATCATATTGTGGACGACCAGCTCTACCCATCATTTGCAGAATATCGGTGATAGGAAAATCGACATATCTTTTTGTTTTTGCATCATAATATTCTGTACCCTGGAAAGTATATACTTACTGAATTCATTAAAAAATTTCTACACAGAAAGTGATATACCTGGGCTGTGCTAAATCAAACCCAAACTCATAATTATTATTTTCCTATCATAATGAATAAAACAAAAATACTCCCTATAATTCCTAAAGAGTTGGCCGAGCCTAAGGACTAAAAGAGAGACAAGAACAAAGCTAACAAGACTGAGGAGGGTGTATTCAATCGAGATTCTGTAGGATTTTTTTGGATTTTAAAAGTCTGTGTATTCAATTGAGATTTTAAAAAATCATTTAAAATCTGTAGGTATTCAACGGAGATTTTAAAAAATCTTTCCAAATCTAATGATATTGAAAAAATGATAGATTTTGAAGGATTGATATAGAACATGGATTTTGAAGGATTTTAGACTTGAAGTATAAATAAAAATTTTGTTTTCAAATCCAACCAAAAGCCTAGGGATTTTGTGTGGACTCCAAATCTGCCGGATCTTTCTCTCTTCTTCCCGCACGGTTCTTCATCTTCTCCCGTCATCCCCACCCTCGATCTCCACTTGCAGACCTAGAGTCCCAAAATTAAACAAGCAATCCCAGAGAAATCTCCAGCGACGCCCCTGCCCAATCACCATTCCTTTCCTGTCTTTGTTCTGGAAGATCTGCAACGTCAAACTACGAGTTTTACTGTTCATCGATGAACATCAAAATTTCAATTGGCATCGTTTCCAGCACGTTTGATGGCTAATTTTTGGGGGTTTAGGAGCGGCTTGGGATGCTTAATCAAGGCCTGAAGTGGGATGATCTTTTTCTGCCTCGGTTTGGTCCAACACTGCCCAGGCCCCTCATGTCTTTGTTTGGAGTTCATACTTGGTGTTTAAGGGAGTTCTTGGGCAGAATTGCAGTACTTATTTTGAAGTACTTATTTGTGTGCTCCTTGAAGAATTGTAGTATTTGTGTGTTCCTTGAAGAATTGCAGTGCTTATTTTGAAGTACTTATTTGCAGAATTGCAGTGCTTATTAGATTATTTGATTTTGCAGTTCTTGTTTAATTTTGCAGTGCTTGAATTCTGTAGTGTTTATTTTATTTGTACTTGATTCTAATAATATGAATTTATTTAAAAATTAGGATGTTTGATTCAATATGGATGAACAAAAAAGTTGAACAAACATGAAATCCATCTAAATCAATAAACAAATCTCCTCAAGTATATATAAAATTCCATGTAAATCAATAAAAGAGTTTGCCAAACTCTGCATGGAGTCAATGGATTTTCTAAATCCACCGACTTCTTAAAGTCCAAAAAAATCTTACAGACTTCTAATTGAATACACCCCCCTAAGGAGTTGTGTTTCCTAATCACATGTTTTCGAGTCCGGCAGACCCTACTCTTGTGGATCCAAATGGGTTGTTGTTGTGTTTCCAAATCATAATTTCAAAATTACCTATGTTTTGTCTTTGCTTTTACTTAGAATTTTCTAGATGTAATAATTCAGCATATTTGTGTAATGTGGCTATATATATCATGCCTCACTCACTCTCCATTCTAATATGTTGAAGTTTAATGAAAATGTGATGCCCTTCGAGTGTTTCTTAAAACAGTGTGGTGTTATTTTGTCTGAATCCCTAATTTTCATATCTTGAGAGTGGTTCTCTTGAGTGTGAGTGAGGTTCTAGTTGTTTAATTAGGTGTGATTCTTAAATAAATTCTAGAGTTAACCCTAAGTGAGCTTTGAGTGCATACCTCATATCCGAGCTTAGTTTATCCCTTGTTAAAAAAAGTCCTAAAAATATTACTTCTCTCAACTTCTTGCACAATTCTTGTCATCCCCTCCCCCCCCCCCCCCCCCNCAGAAAGCGAATAACTGATATGATGGAATTTGATTGGATTTATTGAGTATTAGCATGTTATCGAGAGTAAACCTTGGATGCCCCCATGGATGACCCCAAGTTTTACCCCAACACTCTCAAAACTCTGTCCTCAATGATTTAATAGAGTTAAGGTTTAGGGATGCATGCAATGCAACTAAGGTCCGGTAGGTGTGTGTGGAGGGGGGGGATGAAACATTATGAAAGAGATGGTTAGTTTGGCTACACTATATTTCCTTTCTGATAAAAAATAAGTCATTTTTGCTGCAATAGTGCGGCAAGGCAGACATATGAGTTGCATATGTGATGGAGTTGGTAGCACCGCAGTTGTGGCCTTTGAAAAATTGTCTTTCATTTGGGTTTTAAAAATTATTCATATTAAATATAGGAATTGAATTGTAGATTTAGGTTTATTAGACTTAGTTTGAGTGCAAAATCATATGCCCTTTTACGTTTTCCTTTTGTAACTAACAAAGTTACATTTGTTTACTATAAAATTTCACTTTCTTGTCCAAGCTTATTCCTTTAGTAATAGAATAGTCATTAACCAATGAAATTATTGTCCATAATACTTTTAGCTTTTATGTTTTATGTTATGGTATAGATCCTCAACTTAATTGGTCAAAGAATTCTTTGATGCAATATGCACATGTACACAATTACACATACCCCAGTCGCCTTTTGTTTTCCATTTTGGTCTATCCCACAAAGATGCAATTTCTATATTAGGTATGAATTTAATACCCCCATGGAATCATATACAAACTTATCTATGCGGGACGGACAGAGTATTGTTTACTCATAGTATCCGTAGGTTTACAGCAAACTAATGATCTGCCGTAAATATCTGGTAATCTGGATAAATAGCATGAATGATATAAAACTTGAGATTACCTTTATAATGACCAAATGAGCAGGAAGGTTTACGCCCCATGCAAGTGTACTTGTACAGACCAAAACCTATGGGGGATTGAATGAACAAAAAGAAATGAGAATAGCAACTCCAATTTCAGCAGGTTGGGTTATTGCTCACTCAAAAAATAAAATGTTCTAATTAAGATATAGTTGCCTGGATCTTGTTGTTTGCAAAAAGTTCTTCAACTAAAGATCTGTCCTTATCATTGAGTCCAGCATGATGTAGCCCAATACCAAACTGTAGAGTATGCTTCAAGTTCTGATCCACGACCTGAGAAAGAACCATCTGAAGTGCATCTTCAGCCATGTTCAAGAACTGTCTTGGGTACTCATCTGAAGCTGCAAACTACAATTACAGATGAGAGATAAAAGTCATTTGCTATGGCGTAGTGCATACTATACATCATCTAAACTGCCATGATTGAAGACACAACAACAAACCCAATACAATTCCAACTCCGGTGGGGTCTGGGCCTCCGGGGTCAAGATGTAAGCAACCTTACCTCTGTAAACAACAGAGTGGCTGTTTCCTTTAGCCCTTGATGCATTTACCATCCAAAACTTCACAAGGTAAGAAGCAAGAAATGTTTATTGTGCCATTTTAAATTCTTCCATTATTTACATAAAGCTAAATCATTGTAAAAAATAACTCTTTTAACTCCATTATATATCATTTAAAGCAGTGCATATTGTATATGATCTATGTTTTATGTGATCCACTTGTAAGATATCACGGACCGTAAAAACTTGTAAATTTTCACGTGTGTTCTCCTTTAACCATACAGGACCTCTAATATAATCGAACTGCCCAAGTTCTTCACTGGAAAATAGGCTAAATATTTGTTCATGGAGAAAATAAAGGATTCCATCCAATCCTAAATATATAGGTAGCATAAAAAATTCAGTAACTATGTGATCTTTATTATTAGATAAAAGAGAACTAAAAAATAAAGAATATATATATATATATACTAGGTATACTTCTCTCACCTGAATAAGGTCGAGAGCAGTTAGCCTTGTCTGGCGACGAGATGAAACAAATATTAAAACAGGTTTTGTGGGAGAGTGTGTACATATAGCAGCATATGTGGGTTTATTCATGCTATTCATCCTTGGGCAGTAAAACTTTCCGGGATATCCCTGTCAAAAAAGCCAAACTTTAACAAATTGAACAAACTGGTTCAATGAACATTTGAGGGGTACCACAATCATTCATGTGGCACTAATTTAAATGCACATCATTCAGCTAAACCTTACACCAACAATGAATTACATTTCAATCTAGAATGAAATAGTAACGAACTCACTTCAATATTCAATAAAATATTAATCAGCTCACGAGCTCAATAGGCAACTGTGTATCTTTTGCTTGAAGTCTTAGCAGATCAGATCATTGGTATTTCGTTTTTCTATATGAAAGGCTCATGGTGGAAATGGTAGCATATGCCTTTTCTGAGTAATATATTCAAAATATGCAGCACCAAATGGGCAGGCACAGCTGATCTATGCAATGCTCAAACTTACTATATACGTAGACGTGTTTGAGCATAGCAACAGAAGTAATATACAAATAAAATTGGTGTGTTTTTTGAATCTCCAGTATATGATACGAAGTACATACCGCAAGCAAGCCAGGAAAAGGATAAGATTGCGCATCAAATCAAGGAACTAGATAAGAAAACAGAAACTACTTGCCTGGATATGAACTTCAAGAGGTACAGGCCTGACACTAGGCTTGAAATTGAAAAGTCCAATTTCATCCACACCCAGCCAATCAGCCAAATCTCTGGAGTGCAAGGGAAAAGTGATTGTCAGATATTGCCAAGAGAAACTAAGAAAGCATCTCCCAATAAATACATAAGTAGACAACAGTTACAGTATGTCTATATCATAACTAAATGCTTTAAAATCAATTAAGCCATTGGCCATCCATGATCCAACAATAAATTAACACCCCATTTGCTTTTAACACGCTTATTAAGAAAATGGAAAAGTATGATTGAAATTTAAAAGGAAAGAAACAATACCAATTACACAATCCTTTCTTTAAAAGATAAGAACAACAACAACATTACCCTAGTGCCTCAAAGGCTCCCGCTCGCTCATTGCGGGGTAAGGGGGTCGGATGTACGCAGTGAAGTATCCCATATGATATCAGGTGTTTCGTTTGCATTTTGGAATGAAATTACGGTTTTACAATAACAACAAATCTGGTGTAATCCCACAAGTGGGGTCTGAGGAGGGTAAGATGTACGTAGACCTTAACTCCACCCGTTATGGGTGGAGAGGCTGTTTCAGATGAGGAATGCAATCTACCTTAGTTCAAGTACTCTCTTACCACCTTTGCTCCATTTGCCACTCTAACACGTGGAAAGCAAATGATTCTGCAATATTGATGTTTTGCTTTTTCTTTTTAAAACCTCTTTTTTTAAAAGCATGTATGGAGTATATTTTCATCTAAAAACGAGAGATTTATAATAGAAGATGTTGGAACATAAGCCAGATAGGCCGAGTATAACAAACCATAAGCCATGGACCAAGGTCCAAGGATGAGATGACAAGATCTGATGATACAGTCGACCATGGTAGGATGAAGCACAAGCAAACAAGACAAAGGTACAGAAAAGGAACCCAAAAAGGGTTCACGAACCAAAACCAGGTGGTCACAACCAAAAGACCAACGGGTGGTAAAAAATAGTATGCAGTACTAACAGTTCGTTCTTTTGGACTGTAACTTACTTGACTGAGTGAAATTAGAACAGATATTAGTTATAATTTTAATTTGAAAATACTGAACTTAATTTAAGTATAAAAATTAAACGTGACTTTAGAAATGAAGTTGCAGAAATTGGAAAGAAAATGAATTTTGCTTTCCACGTGTTTAGTTAGAAGGGTGGCAAAGGTAAAAAGAGATTGTTTGAGTCAAGGTAGATAGCATTCCTCATTTCAGATAGACCATTGGCTGTCAAATAACGGTTTCATTTTCCCAAATTTCCTTTTCCCAATTTTCACTCATTTCTTCCATGCAAATGAAGAAGACTGTGCAAAAGGCTGATATCCAAAGCTCTTGGGTCATATTATCAGTATCTCTCTTTGGAATGATTGGAATGTGGCTGTGCAAAAGGATCTTGGGCAATGAAATCAGAAGAAGGATGCACAAGTGGCTCAGTGCAGGAGACAGATAAAAAGCTAGAGAGAGGAAGGCAACGAAAGGAATGGAAGCACTGAAGCACATACCGGGGGTGGAGGGTGGAATGAAAAATCCATCCTTGGGGGAATAAAGAATGGGTATGAAAATTGAGGGAAAAAACATCAACCAAACACTTATAATCAGTTTGGGATTCCCCAAACCAGTCCCTGATTCCTCATACCGTGCATCCAAATGCACCCTTAAAAGTAAAGAATGCAAAGGAGGAGGGAAAATACATAATGAAGCACATACTTTGCATTTGCTAATGCTGTTGACAGGCCAACAAAGCGCACTGGACGATCAGTTTGAGATGAAATGTATCTCATCCTTGAAACAATAACCTAGAAAGATTGGATTCAGCGTCAAATAAATCAGGGGTAAAAACAATAGAAGGATAGAATATGAAAACAAAATTACTAGTAATCACCACAACCAGTTATTATACTTGTATAAATTAAGTCATACAGAAATATACGTAAGCAAATGAAATGTTATCATACAACCAAGATTCATGTTGTCTAATGGCATCTGAGTTATATTAAAAAGACCGTGTGCCAAAGGTCCCACAAACCTCCTACAATTCATGCAATACAAAAACATGTGTAAAATTTAATAATTTCAGTTATTTTAAGAGGTATTAGAGTGGTGTTAGCCTGTTATTGTTCCGTTGAGCAAAATTACTATTCTTGCATTCTGCTCATAGCTATGGAGCACGAATACGGGCACAAGAAGCATCATATTAAAAAAATAGACACAGGATTTGCACGTGTGAATGCACACATGTGCACATTATGAATAGGAAGACCCATTTTTAGAATCGTGCTGTGTTATGAACAAGAGAGTCATGATCAATAAAGTTTAGTAATAAATTTGAATTGAATTATGTGTACATTAAAATCATTCAAAACAGAAATGTACAAATTAACCTCAATTTAGATTTTAGAGTCTGAACTGTGAAACCAGTGTACATGGTTAGACAGAAAACAAAAAATACACAACCAAAAGAAAAACGTTAGACTTTTGATGTGTTAGACAGGAAAAAGAAAACGAGACCAATTTATATTTATGGAAAGCAAACCCCGAGTATTGGCCAACAATAGACATGGAACATATAGAACTTGCTGTCATTTTCCTAGAATTTGAAAATGCAATGCAATAGAGATAGTTTTCCATATCATATCAAGCCATAAACAGACTTTCCCCTTAAAAAAGCTATGTTACCTCTAATATTGGCCCGCGATCAGCTCCAAGTAAATGGATCTCATCCAAGATCATAAGCCCAACCTGAACAAGCAGTTGGTAACGGGTGATTACAGCAAGAAATAATGCATTTCAATCAAAATTAGTCGCAGCAATAATGATGAAACATCATATATTATGCAGTGAAAAAATGGAACCTTTGCAGCATATGTACGAGTGTGCCAGTTGCGGCTTATTCCATCCCACTTTTCTGGGGTGGTAATAATAATATCAGCAGACAAGAGAGCCATCAAATCCGGAGTATAATCACCAGTCATTTCAACCTGCTCAAAGTGTTAATTTAGCACTAATAGCTTTATAGTACACATGTAAAAGTTAAAAAAAACTTAAGTTTGATAATGCAAAGGGAGAGATGCAAGTACAATTTGTTTTCCGAGCTGAGAGACAAGATGCTTCCTCCAATCATTCATTCTTTCTCGGACAATAGCCTTCAAAGGTGCTATGTATATAACCTGAAATTATCACAACACTTAGCACCACTAAGGAAGTACCTTAAAGCAGCACCACTTAGCACCATTATCGCAGAAGAACTTTATGGGACGTAGGGAGTATATGACATCAGATAGAGCATAAGGAATATGAATGTCAAGGTTTTCCACAAAGCAGCAAGATTGTGTATCACATGTTATCTCCACATAAAAGAAGCTTGAATATATACGTCATGAACAGACCAAATATTGGGTTGTGCAATCGGAGGAGGTGCAGGGGTGCGTTAGGGACGGGCTGGGGGTTACTGGGGTAGGAACCGTCAATTTTGGGATCGGAGCACCGTGGGGATGTCATTTGAGTTGGTGTCACAATCTTACACAAAATTAATGGTGTAAGATTACCCCTTCTCTCTCTATATATAAGTGTGCGTGCGTGTATAGGATCGAATGAGAATGGTTCTCCATGAAAGAAATGTGAATGCATATAATCCATTGGATTAAAGATCTAAGGGTTGTGAATAAGTGAAAAATCTGAGAAAAAATTGAAAAAATGCAGTGGCATAATCATAAATAAGTCAAACTTCCATGCCATTGCGAAAAGGCACCACCTTATCCGGAATGCACCATGACGAACCAAAAATGAATCATTCTCATTTCTCACGGTAAGGGCTGAACCGGACCATATGGATACACACACACACATATAGTGTGTGTGTGTGTGTGTGTATCTTCACCAGTAAAGAACTGGGCGGAAAACAAATTCTAGAAGTTATTGGTTGCAATGACCGGTGGAGGTTGTTGCAGAAAAAGGAAAGATCTAGGTCATTGAAATCACCACAAGGATGTGCCACTGTGCCACTCCATGAGTGGGAGTGTGTATGGGCATGTGAGGTGAAACTTGGCGAGGGTTTTGTATGGCATGGTCACAGTGACGTTCTGGGCAAAAAAAGGTTAGAAAAAAAATTCTGGCTAACAAATGAGGGGGAACTAGAACAGCCACGAGATAGATCTGCCGGAAGAAAAAATCAAGAAACAGATACATGAATCTCTAGGGGTTTCAATGGGTCAGCTAGACAGCTACACACTATGGTTACAAATAACACATTATACACATAACTATACATTCGGCAATCCCTATGGACCAATGTTGATCCAAGAATCCAAAGTATCCTTAGAAATAACTGGTTTCTCATCAATCATACTGAAAATCATATGGTCATTTCCCTAAATGATTGTGCAGTAATTCACTATCAATTGAGTACTTTGTTAATAATTCATCCTAAAGTACAGCCTTTTATGGCAGGATGAATTCTACAAAATGAGTCTAAAAGGTTATGCAAGATGACATGCCACCTACAATGTTCAAATATCCAATTGAATGGCCAATTACCAATGAACCTTTAACAGTCATAATGAATTTCAGAAAATTACCTTCATATCGGGCTGGGTACTAAATAAATGAAGCATAGCAAGCTCAGCAGATATAGTTTTGCCACTTCCAGTTGGCGCTCCTAGGAGAACATTCTTATTGGTATGATAGAGCATATGAAAAGCCTGCCAAAATGAATTGGAGAATTAAATTGACAGTCAAAATTTGGGAAAGCAGTTGATAAAAAGTATGTAGATGGTGAAATAAATAAGTGCTAAAAACCTGTGTCTGAATAGGATTGAAGTGTGAAAACTTGTACAAGGCTTCAAACATTCCATTACCAAGTGCAGTCACAGGAAGAGGTTTCAAGTCTAGAAGTTCAGTGTGAGTTGTATATTCCTGAATGAAATGTTTTAGTGTAGCTAATAAGTTCAAGATTTGTAACAACAAAAAATAAAGCACGTACTGGAAATTAGAAAATATCACAAGGAAATAGAAGATAAGTTGCAAAGACAACCGATGGGAGCGCAAGATTATGGAAAGTTATAGTATAAAAAGCCTCTGCCTGCAGCCAAGAATCAGATACAGCACGAATGTAGTACTGAGGAGGATGTGGCTCAAAGATTGGGACAGTAAAGGATATCTTCTGTGGTTCTCCTCGGGCCATCCTCTTTGTCAAAGTAAAGAGTTCAGAATGGTATATGTGGTCATTTTCAGAGTCCTATGCAAATCCAAAGATTAAAAGCTTAAATTAGATAACATTCATGTTTCACAACCACAGTTACAAATTAATCACCAATTCCTAGATTATCATACTATGATAGCTCTCTCTAACTTGCGTACACAATATATTTGGGTGACACTGTAAGGAAGGATATATATTTGTATTAAAGTGATTCATCTAATAAGTTATGGAGTATGAACCATGTCAAACACACATCATAAAGCACTCAAAAGAACTCTCAACCAGAACTTCAAATTCTGCAGGTTAGTGCCCTATATAAACATCGAATCTAAATCTAATCCACGTTTTACAGAGAAATAAAACAATTCAACGAGCTCCATAAAATAACTTGGGTATCCCCAATCCCCGGTCATCATAACCATCATAATACCTTAATCCCAGCAAGTTGAGGTTGGTAACATACCAACATGATATTTAGTGTGTTAATTTTAACTAAATCAATTATCTAAAATTGATCAACACTATAAATTCATGCAAAAACAACATAGTAGCGAGGTTTTACACAAAATGCCCCTCTTGTTATTCTCGATATAAGAGCATAATGAGTCTAACAAAACAAGAAGATGAACAATTTTGTATTTTAGTTGCATCAGACTAGAAAACACATTGGTTTCACACTTTTTACTGAAAGAAGCGATATATGCTAAAACTACTGCATTCTTCCTATTAAAACATCAAGCACTATACCTTTCATACGTGAACTCCAGATTTTGAAAACGAAAACATTCGGAAAAAAAGTTCGAGATCAAGAAGCTAAGATAATGAGGATAGTGGATCACTTATTATACAGTTAGATTAGAAGATGTTACAAAAATTCAAAGACAACCGACCACCCTAATAAAAGTAGACTATTACTAAGAGTACAACAACAACAACAACACCGACCAGTAAAATCCCATGATTTGGGTCTTTGGGAGAGGGGAGCATACCCCCAAAAATGGTAGAGGTGTTGTTTCCGGAATACCCCCAACTCGAACACACAAACACAACAAAAACAATACCCCAGTGCCTCAGAGGTTTGTGCCCTATGAGGGGTAAGAGGGGTCAGATGTATGCAGCATGGCCTCTATGTTTATAACATAGAGCGACTGCTTCCGGATAACCGATGATGAGCGGTGAGAGTTGCAGTTTAAGAGCCTTTTGGCATTATTCCATCATAACCCAAAGTAAAAAAAAAAGTGAATTTTTGGCTCCATCGGACTTAATGGAAAACAAACACAGAGGACAAAAATTAGTACAGGTCAACAATTAAAGGGAAACCAGAGGGAGAAACAGTAACCAGAACTGCATTCATTAAATCATCAAACACACTTGTTACCCATTACATATATCATAGATCAATAGCTTTTGTTGATAATGAGGATACACATTTTATATTTATCATTGCAAAGCCCCCTTGCATCTGGTCATAGCCCGTATGAGCAAACATTTTCATAGTCCAAAGTCCAAGCGCATTCATTATATTATAAATTTTAAATTTGTCAAAAAAATTATCATCAACAAGTACATGCAAAGTTCATTGAAATAATTCATTTTCAATGAAACTATGTTGCATAATCTATTACTCGTAAAAAATAGTTCATGTTCTAAAAAACAAAAGCAATCCCACAATGAGAGCATTCTCAACACAAATACCTCAACCAAAATCCACCAGCGCTGTGCAGCACCGTGAAATCGATCCTTCCAAACAAACTCAGGTACTAATATCAAGTCCACCTAGTGAATAGAGCTTATTGTCAATTAGGGGCATCATTCAAGAGAAAAAAAGATCAAAGACCAAGGAAAAGAAGATAATATCAAGTATAAATATATACCTTGAGAACTGTTCTGGTTATTGGACTAACTGTAGCTGACAACTGAATTGATGGGAAATATCCAAGATATTGCTTAACCACCTTAATTTGAAATGATATAATATATAAGAGTAGGCAATCATATTGAGTTTGAACATCACATTAAATTTAGAATTGACATGTTTTATGCACCTTTCCTCCTGGAGCATAGCGAATTAGAGCTCCAATATCTTTCTCCTCCATATCTTGTAGGTGATCTAAGTCAGCTCCTCTTTCTTCAAGCTTCCTCACTATCTGGAATGACAATCATCAATAAACCACAAATAAAAATGAATGCCTTTAATCAGCATTAAACCGTCCAAATTCCAAATGTATGGAGAAACAAACTTCGGCAGAAATATCCCTATCAAACTGCCTGAGTGGATGCTGATGGGGCCAAATTTGACGATCAACAGCCTTGCAATATTCTAATGTCATAGAAGTCATCTCACACCACCCCCTACGTAGACAAATTTCAAATAAAGCCCGCATAATACGACCCAAGCTTGCACTTATATATGCTGCATCAGAAACTAGTGAAAACGTATCAATAGAACCCCGAGATATGTACAACTGCAAATAAAGATCAATGTGAAACTCGATTAATAGCTTCAACACATTTGAGAAGTACATATGTATGTGTTAGCTATGTTTTGGCAACCAAAAATATAAACCTGAATAAGAACAGAAACTTTCCCATGCTTATTTGATGGACCACCCTTGATTTCTAAGGGGCAATATGTTCGAGCCAGCATTTCAAGCTCATTTTGTTCTTCATCCCGGACCATAATATTTTCAAATTCAGAAGAATGGGCAACCAAATTGATCAACTAATCCGACAGAAGAAAAGAAACCATGTCAGGGAAATAATAACATGTAACATTCATGTAGATTAGCATAAATAATCACTGGAAAATGTCATTATACTTGGAGTCATAGATAAGTGACTTGAAGATAATAACCTTAAACAGTTGAAAGCTTTACTTGAAATGAAGTGATACATATACAGTCGAAGAGAATTACTTGTAAAAATAAACAATAGAGCATTACTTTTAAACAGATGAAAGCTTTACTTGAAATGAAGTGATATATATATACAGTCGAAGTGAATTACTTGTAAAAAAACAATAGAGCATTACTTTTAAACACTCAAGAGTACCTTACATTTGAAACCATGATATGATATCATCATTTAAACACACGGACAACTTGAGAATCTTAATTGAAAACAGAGAAGAGGTCGTTTTTAATAGAAAAAGTTGAATGCTAGCAGGTGGAGTATAAGCCCTTAAATCCTGGATATAATCTCTGATAGAAGTTGAACACAATGAGTTGTGACTATTATGCTCCGTACAAACAAGAGAATGACTCCATTTCATACAAGGCCTTACATAGCTTGTTGACAATATACATTTCACCTATTTTTCTTTCTTTTTTATATTCTACTAAGTTACAACTAAATTGCACCAACCAGAGCAAAAAATAAATGTTCAAAACTCTGCTAGCAAAGTTTCATTAATAACATTATTAAAATTTTAAATCTTCATAAAATAAACAATTAGAGCAATATGGCCTTAAAAGACATGGTTTCTATAACTACGTACCTCACTTTCATTCATGTGGCATTTTAACATTTCATTGTACGTCTCAACACTAGAATATTGAATGTAGAAATGGCTAGCTATGCGCCCAAGCTCTGTGCAATAAAAATTCCCACTTTTCTCATCAAAACGCATCATTTTTGCTTTGTCAAGAGCACGAGCCGCATTGGTTATGAGATCTCTTTGCTTCATACTCAATGATGGATCAGCTATGATCTTTCAAACATAAATTTAATATTAAATATTATATGGGCAACGAATACCAGAACCCAGTACAAAAGTTCTGAAATGGCTCATACACAAAGGAACTGAGGCTACCTCTTCCCATCCAATACCATACGCCAATGGGTTCTTTTTCATCCTGATAAAAAGATACGTATACCCAAGCCAAGCACAAGCCTCCTTGATATTTGTCACAGTGCCTAGTACCACCTCAGCATTCAGATTGTCTTTCAAAGAATTTATAAACTACAACACCAGAAAATCAAACAAGACCAACAAAATAGTCAGACTCAAGGAAAGAATATACTTCCTCCATCCCCTTCTGATTTACCCTCTTTTCTTTTCGGGTCATCCCTAAAAGTCTTTGCATTTTCTTTAGAGGAAAGAGTTGGGTGGTTGATATGGATGTTTCCTATTAAATATATGCCAACCACACAATTTATTTTTTGAGCTCCATTCAAATGAGGACGGAAGTATAAATTTAGTCCACACAGTATCCAAAGACAATTTTAATGACCATTTATGAGAACCAATTTGAAGCACAATTTATTACGAAGTATAACATTTTTTTCATTCTGTCATTCACGCACACTTAGATGCTTAAAAATAAAATTTCACAAAGAAAACATTCTAATTTGTAGCATTGAAGCATCTACCAACATGCACACACTCAGAAGTAATTTAAGTAAAATACATTACTCATATAATATCAAGAGTAGGTAAGTTCAGAGTACAAATTCTACGCTCTAAAACCATAAAAACAATGCCACGTGTTCCATCCACAAAATATAATATCCTGTAAGCCAGTAGCGTGTGCACGTACCTGACTTTCAATAGGAAGTTGACTAGTAAGTAGACGTAAATAGTAGGCCAACTTGTCATGAGTGGTAATTATAATGCCTTCACCACTCTTATCAAACTGAGGTCTTCCAGCGCGTCCAAATATCTACCAGATGCATTTATAAACAATAAAAAAGATCCAAAAAAGCATCCACATAGAGACAAATAATACTAGAACTCTTAACTACAAAAATGTTTCCTTACCTGCATAACATCAAGCATGCCCAAATCACGCCATCCACCAGCTTTTGGATCATAAATTTGTGTTCCCTAGATAAATAGCATCCAAATACCTTAGCATGTATAGAAAATCATCATGCGAATTTTTAAAAGGGTAGAATTGTATATACAAAAAAGTAAAGGAGAACAAATCAGAATTATAAATGTTTTAAATTTTGGGTACTGGTCTAACAAAATTTTGAAAGGTTCTTACTCTCAAGCACATGGTGCGCATACTTGGGTACTTTTGCGAAAAAGGTTTTGAAAGGCAAAACGGGCCTCAAGGTGGTTGGCTTTTTCCTTGTGAGGCGTAAGCTTTAAGGCAGACTGAGTTGTGTGCCTCAGATCAATATAAACATTATAATACTCCGTAATACTCTTCCATCCCAAAACTAACCTCTCACTTTCCTTTTCTGATTGTCCCAAAATCAACTTCCAATTTCTTTTTTTGGCATGCACCTTTTACTTCTTTTAAATAAAAATACACTTTTACCCTCAGCTACCTAAGTAATTACTACCTTTCACTTTACTTTTTACTAAACCCAATAAAGTAGACATGGGCATTTATATATGGAGTAATAATCTTCACTCTTAATCTCCACGCTATTTTCACATGGGAAGATAGTTTTGGGATGAAAGGAGTAATAACAATAATATAATAATAATAATAATAATAAATGTAAAATATATAACCAATGATGATATGTTTATCTTTTCACTCTTAATCCCCGGCTTATTCCCAGCGCCATTTTCACATGGGAGGATAATTTTGGAACGGAGAGAGTAATAATAATAATAATAATAATAATAATAATAATAATAATAATAATAATAAGGGCGAGGCTAGGCTTCAGTATAAAGGGACATCATTGCCTTTTTGCCTCATGCCTCTGCATCTCCAACACCTTAAGGGTTAAGCCTCATTTAAAAGCCGACTGAGGTTCAATGGTTAGGGGTCTTTCTTCGCGCCTCATGTGGCACGCCTCAGTGCTTCAGAGGCATAAGCCTCGCATGGCGCTTAAAACCATGCCCAAAATGTAGTACCATAATAGTCTAAAAGATATATTATTACAGTGTGTTCATAAGGTATGTTTGCAAATTGATTTTCTCAACAACCATCCAAACAAACACAAAACAACACTGTCAGAGAGAAGTTATTACAAACCTTGATCACAACAGTATGGGCAGGCAGATTCACACCCCATGCCAAGGTTGCAGTGCAAACAAGGACCTACATAGACATAGCTTTCAGGGAAAAAATTGCAATGGGAAGTTAATGAGCAAGAATTGAAGACTTAAGATGCAAAGAATACCTTCAAAAGTCCCTCCGAAAAGAGCCGCTCAGTTAGAGTTCTGTCCTGACGCAGCATACCAGCATGGTGAATACCAATCCCATGCTCAAAAAGCTTGACAACCTCCTTATTTCTAGACTTGATAACTTCCTTCTGAAATCAAAGAACAGACTGATCTAAGATTTTAAGAATAAAACTGTATAAATGGAAATCATGTAAGCCATCCTTGCCTTTTTGAGCTCAAACTGAGGGTGTTTTGCATTTCCAAAAAGATCTGAATCTTCATTCCTCTGAGAAAGTTCGACCTGATAAAATTAATCGAACTACCTTAATCATTAAACAAATTTCAAAGTGTTATTTCATGTGCGAATTATAATATCATTTTAATTACGACAAAAAAATCCCAGTAAAACCCCACAAGGTAGGGTCTTAGGAGGGTGTGTGTACGCACACTTTACACCTACTCGAAAGTAGAGAGATTGTTTCCAAAAGACCCCATCCAAAGCACAGTAAACCATCAAAGAGGACACAAAGCACGAACATAAGTAATAGCAAAGAGCAACGAGCGAAGGGCAAAGAAAAGCACACCAAGACAAGAAGCACACAAACCGACACTGGCAACTAGGCCCCCAAAGAACAGGAAGCACACAAAGACAAGAGCAAAAAGCACCCGCATGAAACTACTACCAAGGCACAAAAGATTACCCAACTACTCTAGTCCTCGATCTCTAGATGTTCCTAACTAAGATCATATCTTTGGTAAGGATACTATCATTTTAATTAATACACACAAATGTTCCAGAAAGTGCTAAATGTTCTATTGAAAAAAAAATTACGTATGTTTTACCAACATATAGCACCATATCCATATCTTCTAAGATTTATAAAAGATCGACAGGATCTCAAATTTCACACTTGAAACACTAAATGCAAAGCATTCCAGCAAAGAAGGATAATTTTATGGTCTACATTCTTGCTTTACCACAATTAAGCATAAATTCAAAAATCCTTTGAACCTTCTAAAGTGAATATTTAAAAGAAAGAAAAACTAGTAATGGTGCTCCAGAGATACATTTTTTTGTCAACAGAGAACTCCTTGCCAAAGATTTATGGGAAAAATACTGGAAAACCCTACAAGTTTATCGGCTGTTTTGCCAGTATCTTTACGTGAATGAACAAAAACCATAGCCTGGTGCCCTATCCTCAAGGAATCAACAACCTATACAAAAACAAAACACATAAAGAAATAAACCATGTTATAATTGCAAGTTGCAACCATATTTAATGCTGTAAAGCAAGGTTCAGCAAAAAAATGAGATTGGAGCAATGGCAATGAGATTAAAATGGCCACCATTAAACTGGCAAAATGAAAGACTGTCTAGAAAAATTACCATAAGGACATTTAGATAAAAATGTATAAACATAATTAACAAAATGAATTTACTTTCATTTCATTTAGAGATCTTAACAATATTTTTATTACTTCCTCCGTCACACAAAGTAAAATGAACTTGGGTTTGGCACGCTGTTGAAAAAATAATAATAGTGATGTGGGTAAATTACAAGTGTACCTTTTTGGAGAAAGAAGGAAAATAAAGTTGACACCCCCCCCCCTCCCAAATAAAAGGTATTTAAGAAAAATGAAAAGTTAGTGGTGCTTAAATTAGAAAAGTACACGGTATTTGCAACATATATGTTTATACTTGTTCAGTTATTAAATGAAGTTTATTTAATAGGGGGGAGAGGCTGCCCGATAAGTATCAAAGCATCCCCCCCTCCCCTCGTCATCTTGAAGGCCTGGAGGCCTTCAAGATGAAAAGATGTAAGGAGGCCGCCATTATATTTGTGTAAACTTTTAGATTATAAGTCTTACAAAATGAACCCCTTTCAAATGCAAAAGAAAAAAGCATTGTTTAGGGTTGCATGTTAGATAATTTCATTTCCAAATGCCCTAAAAGCTTCCACATGACAGAAAATGGCCCACCGCACCAAAAGGTGGGTTACTTGTTGGAAGACGCCATCAGTTTGGTGTTTGGGCGATGCAATGTTCTACCACTCCAAACACCCTCCCAAACAAACCCTAAAAACCCCACATAGAAGCAGACCTTCTTGTAGCATATCTCATTCAGAAGCTCATTGCGGGCCACAAAATTATGCTCACTAATTCCAATATACTGTTGGGCAAGAGGGACTGGCCTGTAGCTTGAATCAAAATAGAAAAGACCAGTTTCTGGATTCACCCTCAGAAACTCTGCAACCTAGATTTCAATTAAAGGAAAACCATAGGCAACTTGTAAGATGAAATACAGCATAATAAGATTAAAGAGCTTTACTCGGTATCTCTAACACATTCCATATGAGGAAGCACTTCTAAATTGTATACTGAGATTTCAAAGAAATCTAACCTCCAAATAGTTGGGTAGAGTAGCTGAAAGGCCCACAATTCGTATCATGGATTGTGTAGCCTCCACCTGTTGTCCAAACAGTACGAATGTATTTAATTAGAATGCTTGCATTAAAATAAACCACAATGAAATGTCACTCGTATATGCAGGAAGCATAGTTGTCACATAGCATAATAGAATGATGAACCCTCCATGGTCAATGAGAAACAACACTTAACAATTGACCTATTTGTAGAGCATACTCTACAAGTTCTGTTTAAGTCGAATAAAATGTATAGATTCTAATCCCTTACACAAATAAATAAAACAAAATTAGTCTCTTGACTATCTGTATAATATAAAAAATTCTGGATAAGTCACTGCCGTCAAAAAAGAAGTGCTAGTGCATAGCAGAATTTAGTAAACCTATATAGCACTTTAAGCTTTGAAGGATATGCCTCACTGTCTGACAAAGAAGATGATTATATTGGGAATGGAAAAGATTGAATAGATCTTTTGTCTTTTGTGACTAATATTTTACTCATTTGGTTTTGTAGTCTATTTGTAAGAGAATAGCAGTATTTTATTATGCCTATCTTAGCTTTTGAATCCACAATTCAACATTATGTCACTTTTCATATGACTTATTTTTATTTTACTCCATCTTATTTTGATATGTATAACATATACTTGTGTGTGTGCATGTAATTTTTGCCAAATTCTATATAAAACTAGCTATTTATCTACTAATTCATGTAGTAGTTTATTTACTTCTGCTATTCTGATCTGCGATTATTTGATCAATAACAGTATAACACTAGTTCAAGTCAGATGAAGTTTGGATGCAACTGCTTTTTTTAAATTAATTAGGTGTGCATTCACCTTCACCCCTTATATTGTTTTACTAATATAAAACATATTCATCACATTGGCTTCAAAAATTTCATCAGCAAGCATAGGCACTACCTTTCATTTGTCTTGTAGCTTAAATGCACATGGGCAAATGGCATTTTTATGAAACCAGTATGACAGTATTCAATAAATATGAAATATGAGAGTTGCTTTACACCAAAATTATGAGTAGAAGAAAACATCCACAAAAAATCAAATAGGAAATTTTTGCATTATTCATTGGATCAAGAAAATATTGGTTGCCTTACCTGACGAAGAGTCCGAGCTACTAATGCTTCTATAACAGGGCCTCTATCGTCATTCAAAAGATGAACTTCATCAATTATCAGTAGCTTCACCAACACTGAAAGTGCCATGTCACTACTTTTACGAGTAATGACATCCCACTTTTCAGGTGTTGTCACTATCATCTGAACAAAGATAATTTGAAGAAAATAATGTGAGGTTTTTAAAGTAACTTTTATAAGTAGAAATCAAGAAAGTTTCACAGATAATCTGAAGACAACCTGTGTTTCTTCAAGTTCTGTTCTAGAAAGCTGCATGTCTCCAGTAAGTTCTCTCACGATAACATTCAGCGGTGACAACCGTTTGCTGAAAGTCATGGTGACCTCTGCTGCTAATGCCTAGAAGGAAAAAAAAGAGAGGAAGATTAGTAGTGAGTCCTAAAGCTGGCAAAATGAATACTTCTATTCCAACAAAAATATACATCAAAAGGCACATAAATACTTGTTCAATGCATATTTCCTACAAGTCACCCCAATCTTAGCATGGATTTAAATACAACTCACACAACTCAATGTAGTGTATGTTGGTCCAACTTACTTGGAGCTTTGTCTACTCCTTTGAGCACAAGATATTGCAAACCCAAAAATTGAAAAAACAATTTTTAGGGAAAAGAAGAGAAAAAGCCTATTTCATGCAGCAAAAGGTTGAAAAACACAGCATATAACAGTAATAGCATTATAGCCTGTATATTGAAGAGAGAGGCACAACAAACCAGATATTAAATGGACATTTTGGGTTATCAATTATGTCTTGAAAAATAGCTACAACAGCAACTTGGTAATGCTGTGTAATACGGCATTTATGCAATACCTTCATAGGAGCTACATAAACAATCTTGAATTCATTCTTATGCAAGTAGCCTTCTCTAAAGTGATGTTTAATCTGCACAAGGAAAACCATTGACATGTCAAAGAAGCAGTGAGTCCAAAACAGTGCTACCATTTATGTGCTAGCATCCCCATGTAAAATGAGGAACATACACAACCAAACATCTGAAAGATGGATGCCCTTATTCTTACCTCAGGAAACTGGTAAGAGATATTTGACATTCTCTCCATAAAAAAGGTTTCAGAAATTATGCAAATTATTATCACATCCCATGACCAGATGATAGTTCAATTACAAACCAAACAGGATATAGTAGACAAATTAAATGATGATGACCCCTTGCCATCGTAAGTCAAATGAAAGGGATACGAAGCCAACTGAAAGAACGTACAAGGAACTGAAGGAACCAAACCACAACAAACCTCATGCAGAATAGATATCATAGCGATGTTTGTTTTCCCAGCCCCAGTTGGAGCACAGACCTGAAAATCAATTAACATGTGTTCATGCATGATAAAAGTTTTGTCACATATGAAAAACTCAAAATCTACAGTCTACTGTTAATAAATACATGAAACAAAAGCACTTACAAGTATGTTTTCATTGGTATTATAAGTAGTTGGATATATTCTGCTCTGAATGCGGTTCAAAGACTTGTAGCCTTGAAATGCAGCTTGAGCCAAATCATCAAGCTCTTTTATTTCAATCTGAAAGAAAAGAAAAATAATCAAGTGGTCGTGTTCCATGATTTGCATGTTTATAAAAGCTACCTCAACACATTGTCGTCCCATGATACTATCCATGCAAGTTGAAAACTTGAAAATTGAAATAACCTATGATGATGGATTTAGAACTTCACTTATATTATTCCTTGACCATAAGGATGTGATGGAAGGGCAACTAGCATAAAACATTACCATTGAGCATTTTGCATGAACTTATAGTGTTAACTAATTATAGACACTGTATTAGCCTCATAGTTATCAAGGCGTCGCCAAGGCGTCGCCTAGGCGACGCTTAGGCGTCTGGGCGAGGGTTGGTGGACGCCTAATTGGTCGCCTAGCTTTTTTTTCCCTGGGCGACTGTGTTGTACAGTGACTATGTCACCATCTCTGAGACGCGTCTCCATTTTAGAAGCGCAATGGAACGGAGGAGGAGAGGGAGAGAAGACGGAGGAGGAGATAGAGAGAAGACGGAGGAGAGGGAGAGAAGACTTATCTTTATCGCTGAATATTTGTCGTGCGGCTTCTAGATCTGCGACCTCCACTGCCTCTTNCTAGGCGGGCGCCTAATCGCCTAGGCGACTGGAAGGTGCTCTAGCGCCCAGCCTCGCCTAGCCGCCTTAACAACTATGATTAGCCTTTTAAATTTCATGCGAGTTATGCCACCATGTCACCAAACCCTACTAGTTGGGATTGAGGTGCTGAAAATGATGTTGATGATGAAGACAGAAGATAATCAGTACTAGATGATCACTTCTCAGTTCTCATAAGAAACTGCTGACAATATCACAGAATCTTCATATATAAAAAAAATTATGCCAATGAAGTCTATTGAATAGCACACTTAGTTGCTTTGATAGTTAGAGATTTGGATCCCATTTCCTGAAAGCCATTACGGAACCTGATTTATGATGGGAAATAAGATGCACTTAAAGTTTCAAGTAAATGAAGTGTTCTTTTATCATCTAAATATCAGTGCTTAAGACTCTTTCTTCCATTGATGCTTGATCTATAATGCATTTATGACACTAGAGACTTGTCGAGGAGAATAACATATATTCTTTTATAAAAAAACATTGGTACAAATAGCAAATGGGCATATTTGATTATCAGTGCTACAAATTGATACAAAATATAGAATGAAGAGAGTACCAATCTTTCCCCTGGTTTCATAGGTGCAGTCAACGTTGGAGGTATACTGACTTCTTCATATCCCCTATAATGTTTCCTAATGGTTCCTTGAGGGAGGGCTGTAGTAGCTTCTTCACCATGCCCAATGAGATCCTCAAATATGTTTTTCTTCTCACTTGCTTGAATTAAAGAACTAAAGCTCATCAGAGAGAACTCGTCTTCAACTCCACTATCCACCATGCGTCTATGCTTTTTTTCTTCCTTGCGACGAAGTTTATCAAGTAACTTCTCAGATTCAGTATGAACAGTCACCTGAGAGAAGATTAATAGGTGAATTTAGAATGTTAAATTAGGTCACTATAGTTAGCTAGTTGCAGTGGTAAAAAAACATTGTGATAAATTACATCAAGATATTTCAATATCTCTTTCAAAGTTTTACTTGCCTGGGTGCCATAGCTAGGCTGGCGCGGCTGAGAGTTGGTAGCTGTCTTGTCAGCTTTCAATACAGACACTCCATGATGGATGGCAGCAACAAGATCCTTCCTATGCTGAGATAAACGAAATGGAAACTCCATAAAAAAGTACTACTTTTTTACCTTCCCAAGAGAAGAAATAATATGTATAATGCATGTCCTTGGTACCTTTATGCTCACTTGTTACATACTGCGTTCCGTTCAACTTATTTTTTTCTGCTTATTACTTATTCTTATTAAAATCAGATCAGATCAAATCCAATCAGATCAGATCAAATCAGACCTAAACAAAATTAATATTATTATTTTTATTATTATTATTACTATTATTAATATTATTACCATTATTATTAGTATTATTATTACTATTACTATTAATATTATGATTATAATTATTATTACTATTGTTATTATTATTACTACTATTAATATTAATAATATTATTATTATTACTATTACTATTATTACTATTGTCATTATTACTATTACTATATTTATTACTACTATAATCACTATTATTATTATTATTATTATTTCTATTATTATTATTACTACTATTATTATTATTACTATTACTATTTTTATTATTACTATTACTATTACTATTATTATGACTATAATTATTATTACTATTGTTATTATAATTATTACTATTATTATTATTACTACTACTACTAATTTTATTATTACTATTATTATTATTATTATTATTTCTATTATTATTATTATTGTTTTTATTATCAATATTTCTATTATTATTATTATTTCTATTATTATTACTATTATTATTAGTACTATTATAGTTATTATTATTGTTACTATTGTTATTACTATTATATTTATTACTATTTTATTACTCCCTCCGCCCGGAAATGATGTTCCCATTCTACCTTTTTTTGTCCGGAAATGATGTTCCCATTCTACTTTTTAACACATAAACTACCCAAAATACCCCACCCAGTTACTCTATTTTCTTTCTCCCTCTCCTTTTCTCACCCAATTGCTGCCATTTCTTCAACTTTTTCTCCCCCCCCCACGCCTTTCTTATTCTTCTTCCACCCTTTCTCTCTCGATCTCTCTCTCCACCTCTCTTCTCCTTCTCTCTTCTCTCCCTTCTCTTCTCTCCCCCTCTCTTTTCTCGGCTTTTTTTCTTAAAATCTCTAGATACTTCTTCGGATCGGATCTTCTTCTTTTTTCTTTCCCTAATCGGCCCTCTTTTTTCTCCAAGATTGCTCCTTCTTTTTCTTCTTCTTTATCTTCTTCTTACCCTTCTTTCTCATGTTTGATTGTCTCCCAGATCTACAACGGATCTGTACCAGATATGACGGTAGCGATGGTAGGATCGGTGGTGATAGTGGGGCTAGGGACGACGGGGCATGTGTTTTTCTTCTCCCCTTATTTCTCGGTCTTTTTAGATCTTAGATTTTGAGGCGGGTCTAATGGGATTGGCAATTGTGGCGGAGATTGAGGCGATGAGGGCCGTGGTGACGGTGGCGGGTCATGGCGATGGTGGGGGGGAGCGGCAGTGGGGGTTGGCGGCTGCGTTGATGGGAGGGAAGGCAGTGGTAGTGCCCTGATGAGGGCAGGGGCAATGCTAACAAAAAAGGGTATTTTGGACATTTACTTCTAATTGTCAACTCTCCTTAAAAATGAAGAAAAGTCAAACCGGGAACATCATTCCCGGACGGAGGGAGTATTATTATTATTATTATTATTATTATTATTATTATTATTATTATTATTATTATTATTTCTATTATTATTATTATTATTATTATAACTATTATAATAAAAAAATTTATTTTAATTTTAATCAAATTCATATCAAATCAGATCAGATCCAATCAAACTAGACCAGATCAGATCAAAACTTCAAAATATCATATCAGAACAGATCAAGAGAACGGAACGCAGCTTAACTGACTACAATTATATTGACCTCATTACATCTTAACGATAGGGACAACATTATCATTACATTTTGGCCACACACTATTAAGGTCTTTTGCAGGGATAGGGATCGGGACACTCCTCGGTGGAGCAGGGAAACACAGGGCTTGACTTTGTAAAACTCTTATGCAATTAAGTAACAAAAACTTATTATGGAGTATATTTTTATTCAAGGAATAAAGTGCTACCTATCCCGCTCAAAGTTCTTGTCCAGCAAGTAGAGTTCCAAATCAAATACTCCGTACAAACTATTGATATATTGAATTAAACAAAAATAGAACATCGATACTAATCTGAAGAGGTAACTATTAATAATACTACGAATAGGAAAGTATTGCTAGTTGCTACTATGACTAATAAACTAAAGGCAATATATTGTAAAGACTCCATCCTTCAGAGTTGTTCCTAGCCACGAACACATCCACAACAACCCTAAGACAACACACTTGCACTATCCTTACCCTGAGCCCTGACCACACAGAAAATGTACTCTGACCATATATACTGAGTGCATTGCTTGTTAACAACACTCTTTTACTCTAACCATAATGATACATTAAAATTAATGTTACTCTAGTCACACTACAACATTACTATTAGCAGCATTCATTTTATCCTCTTTATCCTGATCACACATTTAGAGTTTACACTATAGGTATCCTGCACATGATATGAGTTATGAAACATCCCCGGACACAATTGCAAATCACCGCCAAAAAAAGGCGTTGGGTATGCTAGCTATCACTGAAATCTCGGACCCCTCTGTGATAAACTCCTAATAAGGAAGGCATTACAAGATGTGCAAAAGACGTAAACCACGTGCTAAAACCCTAAAACGCAATCTATGTAAATAAGCACGAAGCATCTTGACATTCTATTCAAATTTAACTACTTCCATTAAGATTAAAAGAGATGAGTATTGATAACTAAGGAAGGTGTTGCTATGCTTGGTTTTCATTTTTGACAATGTTCTAGTTTCAGGTACTAAAAAAGGACTTAATCAAAATCACACACAAAACCTCTTCTGCTTCTTACTTTTTATGAAGGTTTATGCATCTAGATTCTAGGGTTTAATGGAAACCTCTATTTTTCATGGATATTGTGAACATCTTGATTCCCAAACCCCAAGGAGTTGGGATTATACTGGGATAGTAAGGGTGGGAAGGGTATTTCCCGTATTTGTCTCATTACTTATCCAATAAAAAGAATAAAAAGAAAGACATTCATAGTTGCGGAAAATTTGCAAGTCCATTTGGGAAAAATTCTGTAATAGCATGTTTGGGAACTTGTATTTGGATTCAAATCTGGATTTGGCTCAAATTCCATGTTAGGGAATCTTCAAATTTTGGATTTGAGGCAAATTCCTCTAATTCATAATAAAGCTCTATTACACATTCATATACCTCTACTTGTCATCTGAAAATCCAGAATTCAAATTTTGGAATTGAAACTCAAGAATTCAAATTCCGGAATTGAAATACAAGAATTGAAATGAAATGCTAGTTCCCAAACATTACCTAAAAGAACTTGTTTCAAGGAAAAGGGTAAAAGTGTGCAAAAATGACCATGAAGCTATTTTTATAGTTGAAGTAAACATCGCCATGTCTACTGAATTATTCAGGTTCAAAGAAACTATTGGGCATTTTATCAGCCTCAAACAGTGACCCGGGCTTGAAGCACAGTTAGGCAGACAGTAGCAAGGAAACCCATGAAAGGAGCTGTGTAGGGATAACGTCTTACCGTGACAAGATCCTGAACGGTTTCAAATGCATTGTCACCAACAAGATCTAGCAAATCACCGGCTACCTTCACGGAACAATTTGAATGCTCTTAGAATTAAGATAGCACCAGACAAGCTAAATTGCAGTGAGAAGGAAATCATGATCAAGTTACCTCGTCACCAGGTTTGTTTGAATCAAGCACACGGCATATTGCCATTGCTAACTCATCTCTTGGAAGTTGTGATGTACTTTCATTGACTATCCTATCACAAGCATCTCTTAACCATTCTAAATCAAATTTGGGTCCTTTTAAATGTCCGCTGTCAAAGGAGCGACCATGACCATGCGCATCTTGGTAATTTATAGCCTCATTGTAATGACCAATATCCAAGTCTGTATCTTCCAAAGAAGTATCAACTAAAAATCGAGTGGGTGGCTGGAACAGAAGGTCTGCTCCAAATTCCAAAATATCACCACTCACATCTTGTATTTCTACCATAGGCATAGTTTGACTATTTTTATCCTGCAACTCAGAAACCCTTTGTGCCAAAACTGCAGCTTTGTGTAAAACTGCATTGGAAATAGCATAGCCAACAAGCTTTTGCAGATCTAACCTGCTTTCACCACAAGTACAATGATATATTTTAAAAGACATGATGCAATCATCTTACAATGCGGAAAAGATTAGTAAATGAAACAAGATGTTGGTTGAAACTAGATCAATTAAACAGAAAGCAGTATACTTGCCAGAGGGCTAACAATTAAGGAATGATAATTTAAAACAAGCAGGTCGGAGTAGATAAGAGAGGTTGACTGGAATTTCAAGATTACTAGAAGAAACTAGGGAATTCATGATAAGAGAAACATGTAGCAACCCCACACACCACAACATTTGAAAATGCAGTGCTTGCACTTAAAAAGATAGTCATTCACATTCCTATGATCTTAGGTGAGTGGGAATGTAAGGCCATCCCTCATGCCATGTTTCCCAATTTCCTCTTTAGGTTTTCAACTATGTTATAGACTTATATCCAGTTCAAGATATCAGGATCAGATAAATTGAAAGACCGATGACCACCCACCAGTCTGTATGTGAATGCAACCCCTACGGCCTACTATAAAATGGTTTGGCTTGCACCGCAGAGCAGAAAATAGCAAGTCAAATGCATGATTCAGGCTTACCAAGTAAGCAGTGATGAAAGTTAAAATGAGAAAAAAGAAAGAAATTGGCTGAAAACATATCAGGAAAAGTTGGAAACAAGATATTTCAGAATTAGCAGAATGATGCTCATCCAAACCAAGTGTAAAACTCACAATAAAAATTAAAATACAAATGGACAAACATGCAAGAATGGGGCTACATTTACTATATTGGATTTTCAGAACTCTTACTTCTTCTCTGATATCAGACGGTCTTCTTCACCTTCATCCATAGGCCTACTAAAATGCCTATAAACACTCAATGCCACCTCCCTAAACTCATCTGGCACTACGTCAGCACCCACCAACTCGCGCACAGCTCCAATAAACTGCTTGTACGCTTGTCTCAATTCCGGGGAAGCTGCAAGCAATCACAAATCAAAACCCAACATTCAAAAATCATTTTTTTCTCAACCATGTTAACAAACCCAGTGAGCTTGTAAAGCATTCAGCATAAAACCTTCGTCCCACTTATACACAATATTCCGAGCGAGCTCTGATTCTTCGAGAGAACTGGAAGAACTTCACGAAAAAACGAAAAAAAATAAACCTTAGGGGGGAAAAGTGGGAAATTTTGGGTGGTACTAATCGAATTGAAGATGATCGAACGGAGTAGGTACCTGCGAGGCTTGAGGTGTTGGAGGATGGTTTTCCGGCGTAAATAGGCTTGATCGACGTCGAACGGATCGCGTAGAGAACTGGTGAGGCGGGGGAGCTCGAGCAACATGGCTGGTTTTCGGATGATCTCTCGAGCAAACCAGGGAGAACGTGGAGAGGAGAAGAAGACGATGGTTCAGCTGAACTCTAAAAGAGTTGCTCTATTAATATAAAACATAAAAAAATATATCAAAATATAAACTCTATATTTCTATTTTAAAAATACTACGGAGTATGAGTTAAAAGTTACTCCGTAAAATACATATATAATGTCAATTACACTAAAATATAATATCAAAATATATTGTGAAATATCAATATAAAATGTCACATTATCACATTGTAAATTTTTATTTTGAAGATAAAAATACGGAGCTCCTATTTTATATTTTAATATTTTAGACACGTAAACTTATACATAATTATGACTTGGATGAAAAAAATAATTTTTGTTTTTTAAATAAAATATTATCAAAACGAGAAATATGATCTAAAAAACTAACAAAAATATTCTTTCTTGATTTTATATTTTTTTCACTTCATTATATCAAAATTTAGGGACATTAGCCTCCCACACATCTCAGACAAACTTTTTGTTTCTATTTTTTTTTAAACAACTTTTTGTTTCTAATTAATTATGAAATGATGTTTTATTAAAAATATGTTTAAATAGCTAACAGATCGAGAATAAAATAAATCGAGATGCACATAAAGATCTAATGCCAAAATAGATAAAAGTTATGAGTGGGATGATTTTCAAATGCAATGTCAGCATATAAAAAAGAGAGATGATTGACGATTAAATTTTGCAAATCATATGAACAACACTTCAATGAAATTTTAATACTCTCTCCGTTTCAAATTAAGTTGTTTGTTTACTATTTCAATGGTCAAACTTTATTCATATTTTTTCTCTATTTTCGTTAGTCATTTGATAAAATAATATATTTATGTCGCAACTACTTTTGTAGATCTTTTGATGTAGTTTTTAAATATATATATTTTTTATTTTTCAATTCTACACCATTTTTCATATAAAATATTTTTAAAATAACTTTAGTTAAATATCGTAAACTGAAACAGATTAGGTAATTTAAATTAGAACGGAGGGAGTTATAAAGAATTACATTTTCTCAATTGTTTTTTATCCTATCTTGTCATCATTATTGTGACATTTTGTTGGAAGGATATATTCATTATGAATTTATATTGTATTATTAGATGTTTTGTTTTTTAATATCACAAAATCTATATATTATTTTACATAAGAAGCCATGAAATTTTATAAATCAATAAAATTTGTTTACAAAATAAAAAAATTACACAAAAACAATTACTCTTAAAATATTAATTGAATTTCATGACTCTATACAAAGTCCATTGGCATTTTAAGAAGTTAAACAATAAATTGTGAAATATGGATAAAAATGCGTATACAAGCATCTCTCATACTCTCACTCTCGTAGCCTTTAATTGGTTGGCCGTTTTATCATTTTGTAAACTTTACTCTCAAATCATGTATTTTATTTTATTTCATTTTTTGAAAATCCAAAACCAAGTTAAATAGTCGTGCTACTAAAGTTCATGAGTGACCCAAGCACACATTAATAATGTTTTGCCTCATTAATAGAGTGATAATTACATCTGGAACTACGGTCTCCACTATAAAGGAACTAGAGACGCTCGGAATAGTCATTAATGTAATTAAAATATTAATTATATGAGTTGCGCTAAGTACTCAACAATTTCATTGTGGTTTGTCTCTGCAAATGACACACTTCCATTTTCACATAATATGGAACTTCTTTGACGTCAGATGATTTCATTTCTCGCATACCAAGCCAATAGCTTCCTTTACTATTTTTTAGGGTAAAAAATGATAAGTAGATTAAATCATCAATAGAGGAAATACATAAACAACTATAACATAGAGTTACAATCAAGGATAAACAAAATTTGAATATTTACAAGCACCAAGAGCGACCATATTATCTTGATGATGACGAAAATATAACGAGTCATTAATAAAGGACGCCTTAAGTGTAGCACAATCTTCAACCAATGCATCAAAATAAGACAAACAATATGAATGTTCACCTTATTGGATAGCCTGCACATCGCACAACACAATCCCACTCGAATGACCAATCCAAGACAATGTTTCTCTATACGTGTAGTACGCCCATATCCTATGTCAATAAAGAAGCATGCCAACACTGCAAATTGCTATCCAAAGAAAATCATCTTGGAAAAAACTTAATTAGTTGTGGCATGGTATTGAATTATATTTTCGTATATTTTGTAATTAATGTATACGCTCATTTACTTAGTCCATTGGCTAATTTATGTTTATACATATTCAATGTTTATGGAATGAATTCACCAGAACATTATTTCTCAAAATTTTACATGGTATCAGATTGTTTCTTAGGATCATCCTGAAACCCTTGGTTGCCACCCAAACTCATCGGCGAGCTCGTACAGTCACCTCTAGTAAGCTCATCCGGCCAGTAACGGTCTTGCAAATTTTGTCCAGATCCGTCTTTGTTGTTGTGGTGCTGCTTTGTTCACCAAAGAAGCAGCAGTACATTTAGTAAATCAATGTGCTGCCATCTACCAAATCAAAACTTGGGAGAGTTTATTTTGGTAATATTTATCTGTAGATATTATCGTGTTCACCTCAATTGAGAAGTTCAATTTTAATAGTCCAGCAAAACAAAACTATGATGGTAAATCAAAGCTAATTTTGTATGTCTTCACCTGTGTTAGAGACATCTACGGCCTCTCGGTATCATGGTATGACTCTCAACCTCTGCGATTGGTTAGTTGATAGTGGGCCATTTCACCACATGGCAGGTAATCTGTCTCACATGTTCGATGTTCAAATTGTATTATTTTACAAAATTAGTCAATCGGATGATTATTGTGTGGAAGTCACACAACAAGGGAGTGCGACTTTCATCTCACCGTTTACTTACCCGAGTATTATTTGTGTCAAATTTACACTATTATTTGATCTCTCTTGGTTGTCTTGTTCATATAATACTTGTCATGCTGTTTTTAATGATCAATGTTGTGTGATACATGACCCTTTATCAAAGACGGAGATTGGGTGGAATGAAATGCAAAACAAAGTCTTTGTTTTTAGCTATCCATGTATCACCACCCCATTCGTTCACCACATACCCATTCTTTCTAATTAAAGAATGAGTCATCTTTCTCTTAGTATTTGTTCTTCCCCTCAGTTCAAATAAAAGTAACTTTGTTGTTTACAAGTTACAAAGTTGTGTTTTTTTGTCTACACACACTCATTCTTCCTTTTCCATTAGTTCAAATAAAGCCGATGCTATAATTTATTTGATTCAGTGTGATTTGTGGTGTCCATATTCTAAATGTATATCTTTTGGTGCTCATTATTTCTTCAATATTGTGGATGATCACTCCATAGATGTCAGGTTTTACCTCATAAAAGACAAAAGTAAGGTTACCTCTTGTCTTAAAACACTTTTCACCACGATTCAGACTCAATACAAACATGTTTGGATTTACCTTATATGCAATCTCTTTCACCACAACAGTATCTCTTATAACTTTTATAATTTTTGATTGTTGGCATTCATCAACACTCCCATGCGAGAGCATGTAGTTTTTATTATATCCCGCACCAAGTCAATAGTGTTGTAACTAGTTAACTTACTTTAATATTATTACTCATAACTCTTATATTGTTTCTCTTGATTATAGTATCTCAGTTTTCTTATCAGGGATTACGCTATTAGTTATCCATATGTTTTTCTCTTGAATGAGTAAGGCCTCGTCCCCCATTGTATCCCTCTTTTTACTTAATAAAATTGGATTTATAAAAAAAGAAAAAGAAAAACAAAACTTTTTATTAAAATAAATTTCAAATATAAAAAACTTTAAGTAATTGAACCCATTTGTCAGTTGGCCCACTCAAATGTAAGCCCATATCCGATATGAAGCAGAAGAACCCTAAAAGAGGCATTTATCGGCTCCTTTAAACTCTCACTCTCGCATCTGAGGCCGCCCTGCCGCCAATTCTTCCTCTCATTAGGACTCAGGACTCGTCGTGTAAGTGATCATCTAAACTTGTTAAAATCATGCAAATAAAGCGATCGGTTTGGGCGAAATTGCGTTCATTCACCATATTCAATTCTCAATGTTTTCGTTTATACATTTGTGCTTTGTTTCTCTGTGAATCTCTGTGATTCTTGCCGCCGGTATAGGGTTTATCGATTCAATTGTTTCTGTCCATTTTTTGTAAGTTCCAATGTAAATTAACTTCGTAGGTTCTAGTTTTCTTCACGGGTGTTTTTCATGAATTGCTGCGAACTTATGGCTGTGCAGCACACATTTCTTGCATCTAGTAGTTTCTATCATTCACACCTTTTGATTGCAAATGAATTGTCTATAGTATACATTTCAACAATAACAACCCTGTATTATGTCAACTCTGTTGGGGTGTGGGATTCAAGAGTATGCAACCTTAAATTTTAAAAATAGAGTTTGATTTTGTCAGACACTAGATGCATTGTACTGCCCAAAACTTGAAGTAAGAATCAAGGAAAGTTAATGTTTTGCATTCTACCATTAATGACTTTTTAAAGCTCCACTGGCAATGAACGGAAATATGGACTTATATAGTTTAAATTTCATCAAGCTTAAATTTGTGCATCTTAACTCCCCTTTTTTCTAGTTATTGGCCAAAAGCTCCATTTTTTAATGACTGATTTGATTGGGATGTAGCATCCTTGCTAAAAGATGGTGAGGATTAGCGTGCTGAATGACGCCCTCAAGAGCATGTACAATGCCGAGAAGAGGGGGAAGAGACAGGTCATGATCAGGCCTTCGTCAAAGGTGATTATCAAGTTTCTTATGGTGATGCAGAAGCATGGTATGTTTGTTTGATTATGTTGGGGTATTGTTATTGACTTTGGTTTGCTATGATGCCTTATTTAGTTTTGGTCATTTGTTACCCTTGCAGGATACATTGGGGAGTTTGAGTATGTCGATGATCACAGATCTGGAAAGATTGTGGTTGAGCTCAATGGGAGGTTGAACAAGTGTGGAGTCATCAGTCCCCGCTTTGATGTTGGCGTGAAAGACATTGAAAGTTGGACTGCAAGGTTGCTTCCATCAAGACAGGTACATTCACCCATCTCATTTATGTTTTCACATGGAAATACTCCTTTTTTAGAGTAATGAATATATACCTCACAAGATTTCTCTCATCTAAACAGATTTTAACTATACAATTTTTACTTTGTAACACTTCTTTAACTCTGCGAATGTCAAAATGTGTAAAGTTTTTTGGGACGGGTTGATTTGACCCGTAACTGAGGATCTATTATATCAGGAAACAAGCATATAATCTTTCATGATCTCCAATGATCATAAGCACAATCCCATGGCTCCATATAAGGTGGGATGTGCTTTGCTATGAGTTGGTTGACCTCCTTGTAGTCTTGTACCATTAATGACATCCTCTCGGTCACACTCTTAATATTAAAAAGGTGTTATACTGTTATCTAGCTCCATCTCTTATTCTCACAATCTATTGCTTAATATTTACATTCCAATGTCCCAATGGATTAAACCCCATTGCTCCTGTTTGGTCTTTGCATCATTTGTTAATTTATTAATATTTTGAAATTTCAGTTTGGATACATTGTGCTGACTACTTCTGCCGGAATCATGGACCACGAAGAAGCCAGGAGAAAGAATGCCGGTGGAAAGGTTCTCGGTTTCTTCTACTAATAGGCTTCTTCTTATCGAGAAAGATATATGTTGCCTTTTGTGAACTTTCTTTGCTTATGCATCCCCCCTTCCTCCAGAATATTTATTTTAATGCTTGCTTTTTTAGTTTTGGTTTTCTCTTCTCCCCCATGGGTTGAGTAGATTTTGGTGCATCATATCTTCTCAGAAAGATTATATTGTTCACTTTTGTATTTTGAGTTTTGCAGGATTACAATCCCACCCTCCACATCTATTTATAGACCTTTTGCATTAATCCCTCCCCTTTTAATTACTAGTGCTTATGCCATACGTATGGATGTACGATGCATCTGCATTGTTTTTAAAATTGATTGTTGTTATCCCTTCTTACCCCTTTGCAAATTCCCACGGCATGGTACTAACTACTAAGTACTAACATTGTAAAACATGCCTGCACCTATTCCAATTGCATAACTTTTCTTTTTTGACTTTTTGGTCAAATATTTGACCAAAATCAAAGCCGGTGCAATTGGAGGAGGTGGGGGAGTGCGTTAGGGTCGGAAGAACAATCAAATTTATTAATGGAGTTTGATAAATACCCCAAATTTATTAATGGAGTTTGATAAATACCCCAATTGGAGTGTTGTATGAAATTAGTTATTTTTTAATGTACTCTATTTCTTACGTACTAAAAAAAGTTGCCGAAGCAAATTTAACCACACAATCTTAAAACTTTATGTTTGAAAGTTTCTATTGGTTGTACTTTATATATTATTAAAAAATTAGTGATTTGAAATAACAATATTGACATTAATACTATAAAGTTAAATAATGATATGTTTGGGAATATGAATTTGAATTTCAAATCCGGATTTGACTCAAATTTCATGTTTGAAAAACTTTAAAATTTTAAATTTGGATTTGAGTCAAATTTTTCTCATTCATAACAAAACTTAATTTGAAATCTATGTACTTCCTCTTATCATTTGAAATTTAAGATTTTAAATTTTGGAATTGAAATGTATGAATTAAAATGAAATGTTAGTTGCCAACACTACCTAAATGTTTTGTGAACATAATTGCTAAAAAGATTTCATTAATGTTAAATGAATAAATTTGTCCTTAAGACTTTGCTACTCCGTAAGTCCACACTATCTGATATGTTTCTGTGTTTTGGAAAAAGACCAAAGTAAGAATAAAATATGAAAAATATATTAAAATAGGAGTTTTATATTTATATCTTAAAAATGAGAAAAAAGTATTAACATTATCAAGCATGATTATGTGTGTGTGTGTATATATATATATATGGAGAAATATAAAAATAGTCAAAGCGGACTAAGCACTGGAAAAAGTCAAAGGGGACTTTTTACTCGGATTGCTGGTCGTATGTGACGGCTCCAATACGTATTGCCGAGTACGGAGCAGCCGAGATTCTGGATAGAAGAAATCATCCATTGATGATTATAAAAACCCCCTCATAGCTAACAACAATCCATCCATGAACACAAAGCTAAACAAACAAACACTTCCACATCTTTTAAATTTTCTTCTCAACAAAAAGATGGTCAAAACAGTTGGCCTCTTCCCATTATTTCTTGTCTGCACCATCATCACAGCATTGTCATCATCATCTTCTTCATCTTCAGCAGCTGCTGCTTCTTGTCAGAAAGACCAGAGCGACGCTCTGCTCGAGTTCAAGGCGGCCTTCTCCACCGACAGGCAGGCCTCGATTGCCTGCTCCGACGCCGGGACCACCACATACCCAAAGACAAACTCATGGAAGGAAGGCACCGACTGCTGCGCCAGATGGGACGGCGTCCGGTGCGAGAACCAGACCGGGAACGTGATCGGCCTTGACCTCAGCTGCAGCTGGCTCCGAGGCCATGTCCATTCCAACAGCACCCTTTTCTCCCTCAAACACCTCCGCTCTCTCAACCTGGCCTACAACGACCTCCAGCAATCCCTCCTCCTGCCTCTCTATGCTTCTTCCTTCTCCCCCAGCATGACCCATCTCAACCTTTCTTCCAGTAACTTGAATGGGGGGATACCCGTTGAGCTCTCCGGCTTGTCCGGGTTGGTCACGCTGGACTTGAGTTTCAACAGCGGGTTGAGACTCGAGCCCTCCGCGTGGGCGGCTCTCGTCCAGAAGATGACCCGGTTGAGAGAGGTGGGGCTGGACCGTGTTCGTATGGCCTCGATCGAACCCAGCACCGCCTTTTCCGGGTTCTCGCCCGCCCTCACGACACTCACCCTCAACCAATGTGATCTCAAGGGCGAGTTCCCTGAAAGCGTCATCGGCTTGCCCAACCTTCAGAAACTCGTGCTCTCGGAGAACGGGGAGCTCACGGGGGACTTGTCAAACACAGCGTGGAGCAGCAAATCACTACTAGAGCATCTCGACATCCGGTTCACCAAGATCGCAGGGAAACTGCCAGACTCAATCGGCAGTCTCAAGTCGCTGCGGCATTTGGATGTTGGAGGCTGCCGCTTCGGCGGGTCCATTCCAGCTTCCTTGGGGAACCTCACGGAGCTGAGGTTCCTCAGCCTGATAGCCAACGATTTCAACGGTCCGATCCCGTCTTCTCTATCCAATCTCCACCAGCTAACCGTCTTTGCCCTCTCTGAAAACCGCCTCACGGGGAGAATCCCAAACGTGTTTGGGAGAATGAGTAAGCTGGTTGGCTTTGCAGCCAGGTCCAACAGCTTGATAGGGGAGATACCGGCTTCCATATGCAGCGTGAGTGGGCTTCAAGTGCTTGATCTTGGCAATAACACCCTGAGTGGCGCCATTCCACCGTGTCTGGGAGGCTTGGCCAAGCTGGAAACCTTAGATCTGACTCGCAACCGTCTTGTGGGACGTATTCCGACTGGGGGTCGATTCGGCTCCTTTGGAAATGCTTCATACGAAGGGAATCCTGGCCTATGTGGTTCGCCGCTCACCAAAAGCTGCGGGGCAGGCAGGACGTACAATAAGGAGTTGATGAATGTAAGTAGAAATTAATGAATGCGAATGCGAATAAGGAGCTTACATAAGTTACATTCTCTAATTTAACACAATATGTATCAGGGATCGAAAATCAATAAGACAATTTGTTGACTTGTTCATCCTACATCGGCTATGGAGCCTTATATTGTGCTGCTATTTAATAGCTTGGGTACCTCAACCTTTTGAGTTAACTTTTGGGGTTGAATTGGGCCCAAGTCTATTGTTTCAACACAATTGTTTTTTATAAGGGAGTTTGATAAGCCATACAGAAAAAATCCATGGAAGAGTAAGGGTGGTTTGTTTCAGCCTCTTAATGGTTCAGATCTCTGAATGGTTAAGAGATTTTGCCTCTGAATGGTTAAGTATTATACAGAGTCTGAATGGTTAAGACCTCTTATCTGAATTGATCAGACATTTGCCTCTAAATAGTTAAGCAATATACTAGCTCTTAATGGTTCAGACTTCTTACTGGTTCAGCACTTAATGGTTCAGACCTCTTACTGGTTCAGCACTTACCTATTCAAAAGTTGCCAAACAGCCTCTAAGAAGTCTATTGATATCTTTTTTTTTTTAATTTTTGAGACTAAGATGGAGGATCCAACATTAGCTTCAAACCTAAAGATTTTACTCTGAATAGATGAAGAGCTATTGCACTTAAATTTAAACAAAAATAAACCGGCCCAGTTACACTTAAATTTTTGAGGGGGAAATTTTCTCTATTGCTTTTGCAAATAGTAGGATTTACCTTTTCTTATTGGAATAAGTTTAGTTTCGAAACAATTTTAATATAAATACATTTTGATCAGATCAGAACTTATTCCAATCAGATCAGAATCATTCAAATCGGGTGAAAAAAACACGGCCTAAGTCTCTCATACCAGAATTTGTCTTACGTGATAAATAATGGGTCACACAATATTCTGTCAATTGGGATTTTTCGGTGGACGTTTTTCGCCAACAATACTGTACTAATTGACGAGACTAAGGGACTCAATGACAAGTTAGAGTTGTGGCCCCGGTCCTTAGAATCTAAAGGCTTTTGATTGAGTGTAAGGGGTAGACCGAGTGTAACGCGTTAGGTTATTTTAATAACATATTGGCTACTTAAGTGATCTAAATCAAATATGTATAATTAAACATCTTATAGCTTTGTAATGTTTAAACCTAGTTAGGGTTAAATATAGTGGGGTTGGTCCCCAAGACTAATGTGACTACTTTTTCTCCTTTAATCCAATCATTTGAGAGATATTCATTGAGAGTAGAGATCCTGGAAGACAATATTCCTTCGCTGTCAACTCATCCGACGCTATGATTTCTCTAATTGTTTACTTCATAATCTTGATAATATGATATAAGTTAAACTATTGATTATGTTCCAATATATAATATAAAGGGCAATTGATATTTGCACTGCAAATATGTTAATGACACTCCAAATCTCTCCATCTCTTTGCAAATTGACATCAATACCCTTTTCACCCCCTCCAATATTAGTGCTCCATATTGACAATAAGTAAAGCTGACAATTCGGTAGGTCGGGCTAGGTTTGGTCCTTTCAGGTTCAGGTAAGTTTGAATTCGAATAAATTCAAGTTCAACTAGATCGAGAACTGCATGTTCATGAGTCATGACATAGTATCTTAAAATTTGGGTCGACCCAACAGTAAAGACAAAAGTCTATTTAGGAAATAGATTTTCACCTAATAAATTTCTACCTTTGTTGGAAGCTAAAGGTTCTCTTTTCTTAACACTCTTTTACTGCATCTAAGATTAACACTTAATGACTACCACTCTCATCGACACTTAATAGTTTGTTGCCTTTGTGGAAAGGGTGAAAAAATTCATCAATGTTAGCTAACATGATAAAAAAGATACTCGATCTTATTATAAAATGTTATTAACAACAAAATTTTAAAACTTTATGTTTGAAAGTTTCTAATAGTTGTACTCGATATATTTAAAAACTAGCGATTTGAAATAACAATATTGACATTAATACTTGTAAAGTTAAATTAGACATTTGTGAACATAATTACTAAAATGACTTCGTTTATGTTAAATGAATAAATTTGTCCTTAAAACTTTGCTACTCTGTACTATCTGTTTTGAAAAAAAGATTAAACCCAGAGTAAAGCATTAAAAAATATATCAAAATAGGAGTTTCATATTTTTATTTCTTAAATAGGAGTTAAAATATATTCACATTACCAATCATGACTATGTACATTATTAAAGCACATTTTAATATTTTTTCTATGTTTTATTCTATTTAGAATGATTTTCTTTTGAGTTTTTAAGA